GCCTGTCGTTCCGGTATTGTCCGCTTGGTGCACTATTGCCGTTACCGTTGCTGAACCCAGTGGAGATTCGGTCATGGTTCTTCCCTGAAGAATCATCAAGTGACGTAACGTTGTCGCGTGTAGCGCCATTTGAAACGAATTGTGACAGGGATGGGCCCTGTTTTGAAACGCTTTTCAGTGTCTTGCCGATGCTCGCGCGCCTCCTACCCGCCCATGCCGCGGTTGGACCGTGTTCCGTTGCGGGGCGCCTGGGAGGTTTTGCCGCCTGTGAGGTGATGGCTGAACGGTCTGTAGCGGCGCTTGTTGGGCGAGACAGTTTATGCGGTAGGTTGAGGGTTACTGTAAAACGTGGGTTCGACTTCCTGGCCCAGCGATCTAAAAAAAGTGAGAAAAAGGCTAGTTATTGTCAACTGCAAAAAAAAGCCAAGTAATAATAACGAAATCCGCCCCATATCATAGTGTCATTTCTGCTGCAACGAAAGACTAAATGTGATACTAGTAACAAAGACGAAATTAGTGTACTTCGTGGAATTCAGCTTCTCCTTGGTTATTAGTAAATGGTGAAAAGGTAAGAACAGATGTACCGGCTATACTGCAGATACAGGTACAGGTACATCATGCAGAAACAGATACAGGTACAGGTACAGATACAGACACAGGTACAGAAACAGATACAGGTACAGATATACAGATACAGACAGATACCTTTATCTGCAAGTTGCTCCGCGTCATCACATGTGTCCGGTGTCACACTGCGAGAGTACACGTCCTCCTCAGGCTCCCGACCCGACCCAGCCGTGACCGTACTCCTGATGTAGCGCCTGGCGCAGTGGTGGCAGTGCGTGTAGAACCCCGGGCCCGTGGCGGTGTTGTGGTGGGCTGTGCCGGCCCTGCTGCCGCCGCCGTGCACCAGCCTCGCCTCGGCGCTCTGGAACTGAACCCGCGCCGCCGTCCCGAACTCAGACCACGGCCTCCGGATCCCGCGAGATTCACCGAGACTTTCTCGACTCAGCTGAGTGCAAAAAAAATAAGCTCTCGTCAATTAAGCATCAATTAAGCAAAGTCAACAGCACATACTGATGCTATAATAAATTTTATTCCAAAACAATTGTACTCGAATTATGAAGTTTCGAATTATGGCAACTACTGGTACATCTTAAATATTACATTGCACATTACAGTGTGTCGTATTTTATGGGAATGAGCTTTTACAATCAATGAAGGAATTTTTCACGTCTAGATATTATCTAATATACACTTAAAACGATGTTTTGCGGCGTTTTCTAACTGTTCACGTTTTCTAGAAAGAGACGAAGAGCTGCATAGTAGCCACTTGAAAAAAAACAACAGGGCCACTAGAAACACGTAAAGAAGCAAAACCCTACATTTTCTTAGAGATTAATCATGCTTCAATGTTAGGAAAAAGCACGACAATTTATCATTCGACACAGCAACACTTGTACATGTCAAACACACCATCTCCCGCCATTTTGTTGTACGTTTGGAGTAGACTAATTTCCGCCCACTGTGCCAGTTTTAAGAGCCTGTCGTCTGCAACATTCTGTGTGATAACCTTGGGACGCCAAATGTCCATCTACACACTCAGTTATTAGTGTACTTAATGTTGTAGACTCATGTCCTCTATAGTACTTTATGAGTTAGCGTAACCTGAATCAATCAATAATATAAACAAGTCAGTGTGTATGATTTTGCCATTTATGTTGAAATGCCAACATGTGTGTACAGTATCTCTGACGATAATCAACCTATATTCTCTATTTGGCACACATAGTAACGGTAAATATAGCAAGCCAAATATCAGGTTCACATGAAAACTGTGAAAATGTCCGTATTCAGGTCACACACTCTAAAACCCTCAACTTCATATTGAATTACAAGAAAGCAGCAAAATGGAAAATACGTGTATATCTAGTAATGCAAGCATACGGCACGGAATTTTCTCAAGAAAGCTAGCCAATTAATGGTTAGACACTGACTGGTGCGAAATTAAATAGCAAAGAACTAGACTGTTCCTATCGTTATAAAGTGGACTCCAAGTATTAAAACTATGCTACAATTGCAAAGCGGGTCATTGTTTTTTGGCTATAGACCTAGTTTCCACCAAACTAACACCACAGGTTCAAAAACAGTACATTATTCCAAAATATGGGGAATAATTAGCCAGGTGAGTTCACTGGAGAAATTAGAAATTAACCTTCCCGTGGACAGACTCTCTTGGCCAATTTATTCTTCCGTCCTTTTTTTGCCGAATTCTACGATCCGTACCCCCGTAGGAAGGCCTGGTGGAGGCTACTGTGTAACAGTTAACTTTCCACTAACCTGTTCTGTTGCGGATTTGGCTCTGCTGAGAAAGGCTCGATGTTCCTGACGGAATTTGCTGATTTCGGCTGTCTTCTGCCTGTCCAGTAGAACCATGGTGCTGCGGAGCCTCTGTTCCTCCAGCAGGTTGAGAGTCAGTGCCCGGGCGTACTCGGGGTTTCGGTCCCGGGAATTGGCGATGTGCTCGTAGGTTTTCTTCCGCAGCGCTGCCAAAGGCGGCATGTTTTCCGACGCCATTTTTTTCTGGTACAAGATTAAACCTCACTACGATTCACGATTTGCGATGTGGTACACCCTTCAAAGAACAACCTGGTCTGTAAATTGTAGAGAGGAGACAGCGAACATAAGAAGACATTACACTTTACATGGAACGTAAGAGGCCATGTCGCATAATTGAGATCTACGTACGTATATATCATGCAAAAAATAGAAATCAGAAGACATGCTTTGGTGTATATTGTAACTGCGCAATTTTGTTACAATAGTGCATAGAATAAAAACACAGTCTCTTCGGCAGCTCAGTCTATTGTAGACTAAAACGCAGTACATAGCTAGACTAAAAACGCCAACTAGACACATGAATTATCTACGCACCCATGCGACCATATGTAACGGTCCATTTCGCGTTGAAGAATAATCATTTCTGGTTACAATCATTTTGTATATCTGTATCTTAAGCCTCTTTGGTAGCTCAGTAGGTTTTGGCCGCCTATAACAAAAGGTAATCCTTAGTTTACAAAAAGCGAGTGTTAAATACATTGATTACCGATCTATCAACAGTGAAACGTGTCAAATATCATTATGAAGCATACATTAGCGTGCATTTAACAGTTAACCCTGCACACTTCATGTAGTAACAATACCAAACCTCGGTTGCGCTTACCTTTTGTAATAGATCTGTTGCTACCACCGCGTTCTTGAAAAATACACCTACAGGACGCCTTTCCAACCGTGTAAGCTCTTCATACGGCGATATTCCAGTGCCCACAGTCTGGTATATTATTCCACAACTAAACCACGCCTGACTGCTTCACGTTAGTGTAACCCTGGTAATTTATCCCGTATATCAGCTCGGAGAAGCGGCAGGGTTGCCTGGCTCTAGCGCTCCCGTTGGAAAATCTAACACGTTAGAACCATCCTACGCTAATAACCCCGGCTAAGCACCGCTTCTTTGTAAGTGACGTTTCATTTCGGATTACCCCAGATCAGCTCTTTCAGGTGAAATCCTCGGGAGGGTAAATTTGCTCCCAGGTATAGCGTTACTATGGCAACACATCAATACACTCCGGCGCGCCCTTTGAAACGACCCCAGGGTTTGCCCGCCAGCTTTGATGGAATAGTTTGCTCAGAGCTTAATATTTCCATCGACGGCCTTTCTAGTACCACTTGGCTCGGACGGATAAACATTGTCAGACGTAAACTTTGCCTTAGTTTGGCAGGTGGCGCGCGGTTAATGTTGTTTGGTCCTAGGGTGTGCTTAGGCCTAGGAAACAAAATGTTGTGTTATCCGACCGACCGTAACAAAAAAATAACCCTAGCCTTTTATGTAGGGTCGGCCTAATCTCTAAGCAGATCCTAGGGTGGTAAAAAATCGTATCAAACTGATCAGGAAGTGTCCATGAGATCAATTTCATACTGTCTTTTGCCACCCTAGGATCTGCTTGGAGATCAGAGTCGGCCGCCGTCGAGAGACATATAAAATATTCGATCTGACAAAGTGGTGCGTACGTAACATTTCGGTTCAGACCAAATGTATACCATGTACCAGTGTACTGATGCATTCTAGTGTTACATTAACGGTATTTTTTGGATCGCTTTGGAAAATATTTAAAAGTGAATCCCTGCCTACCGATCCTGATTTTTTCAGGACGGTAACAGGAAACACGACATTAATTTTCCTGAGCCTTACGCAGCGTGAACCGGTACCGAAGCCGCGGTCCAACCCTGCCTGTTCGTGCTCACTGTGTGGAAGGAATACCAACCAGTGTCCGGGGTGCCGGGGGACATGTGCAGCTTATACCACGGCTTCTAGCAAAGTCAAGAATGTCCCGATCTTAACTGACATGTTGGTTTTACCCCTTTCAAAAACAAACGATTGTTAGACTAACTTGAACTAAACATGCCGCACTTCTTGGCAGAAAAACACTTAAAGACACTTAACACAGTCCTCAAATCTTGAGGACTATATAATATCTTCCATTTACAGCTTTGCAAGCATATTATAGATTCAAGTGGTCCACTGGCTTAAACCTCCGTCACACACGTGCGCAGAGCCGACCATGGCCTCCCGAACACTGCCGAACTCCCCACAACCATGGTCAGTAGGTTGGCAGTGGTCGGTGGAGTCGGAAACTGTACGTACATGTTTGGCTGCGCCAGCTGAATGTTTGCAAAACGTTTAAAGCATACTTCTCAGAGTTGAAATCTCCAATTTTTTTTTTTTTTTTTGCACATTGGTTGCAGTTTTCGTCAACATCGTAAGGTGGCGCATTTATACAGACAAATATGCACAACGACACGTCAGACCTTTTCTGCCTTGTCATCGTTATAATTAATCCAGCCTAATGGAGTTTGCATGTTGCCAGGTTGTGTATCAAATACCTTCCGACAATCGGCACTGCTCAGCACTTTATGGTGATTAATGTAAAAAGTACTCTTGGTGTCAATGTCAATTTCATTATTTATTACTTTGAGATTTTACGCACTTACTACAGGTGTTGTTGTCATCACAGTGGAACAGTTACAGTATTGCTTGTGTTGGGGGTATATTTTAATACAGGGAGAGGTGTGACATGCATACTGAATGGTAACATCAAGACACTTTCCAACAAATCTAAAGCTCGAAATTTTTACACTCAAAGTCAAATGTTAGTAATGATCAAATGTAGTGATCAAATGTAGTGATAATGAGCAATAGGTCAAAACGTGTACTCTTTAAGAAGACTTCAAGGATTGCCTTAAAGAAGTTGGCTTTCAGAAAGTAAGCAGCGATAGGAAGGAGCTCAAGGAGGTACCTATTCCCTCCTTCAAACCGTGCTGGAAGAATAAAATGTGCTGAGAGAACGCAATACAACTCAATATGGCACATGTCTTTTCTTAGTATTTCAGCACCATAGCTGCCACAGCGGCTACTGCTACCACCATTGCCACCCACACTACAAGCTTCGGGCCGGCCGACTTGTAAATCGCTCCGGGGAGGTTTCGCACGAACACGTACGGCAGATTAGTGGTGTACATCACTTCAGCATTGAACGGAGCAAACTGCTGGGCCTGCAGGTAGTAGGCCTCCAACAGGGGGCGCTTCTGTATGGACCGGTGGGACAGCCCCACGAACTTGAGTCGGTGGAGGAGACAGGACAGCATGACGTCAGCAGCTGTGAAAGACTCGCCACACAGCCACTGCTGCTGTCCGGAAGCTGTCGGGAAAACAGCAAAAACGTTGCATGTTTAGTATAAAAGTGCATCGTGAACACCAGGACAAAGAGCTTCCTATCTCAGTGATTCCCACCTTCCTTGTCCTTTTTCCTTTCTTCCAGCTCCTTTTCCACTTCGTCTAAGACCACCTCAAGCTCGTCTAGGAGCCTTTCGATCAGACCTCGGTCTTCCCGCTCCCGGGTTCTCTGCCCGATCTTGTCGGCCTTCCTGGTGTACGCCTCCGCTAGGTCAGGGTGCATGGCGGCCAGGTCCCGTAAGCGTTGGGCCGTGGACGGGCCAACTGTAGGTACATATTTTACATGTTAATGATATGTGTAAAAAGGTGTGACTGCTCGTTAATAACCTAATAACCTGTAAGAACACAGCATAACATGCAATTTTGTCGCACATTTTGCCTGATCAATATACAATTCAGTGCTACCTGCAGAACTAGAGTTTTTTCCGCAATAAACAAAGGCTTTGGGGCGCCCAAAGAGGTCATCCATAAAATCAAGTGTCCTTATGGTATGAGGCAATACTTCAGGATTAGTAATTGTCGAACTATCAGGGCTGCATAGGAGGAAAAGTCCCATAAAATACTTACGAGCTTTGCGACCTTTCCTACGGATTACTCCGGGAAGCATAGAGTCTTTAGCCAGGTCCGGGTGGTAGATGGTCCCGTATGTGTACAGCTCCACCGGAAGCACGTCCAACAGGTCCCGGAAGTGACGTACCCTTCGACCGAGGTCCGTGTCCAATGGAGGAGCGAGTCTAGGTCCTATTCATACGACAATATATACATGTTGTTGCGTGAAACGTTTTTACATACGGACTCTTGTACTTTAAGGTTGTCATACGCTTAGTAAATTGCACGGAACAACTATTGCAGAGACGAACGAATCTATAACTAGAAAACCTAAGGTAAAATTCGCAAAGTTACTCATATGGTATAGCCTAACAAACTACTACTCTGTTTTTACGTATACGTATATTTCTGATGGTCAGACCCTACAACTCTGTGCTGCCTTTGCTACATAATGTAATTAAACACCACAGGGTGTCTGCTACAGCACCAGTTACCAGGGTGACAGACATCTGGTCCAGGTCAATGACCCTTGTTTGGAAGACTTACTTAATAGGTAAAAAAACAATGCTGCCAGAGGTCTCCAATGGGGTCTACGTATGAGATGGTATGAAGCAATGTAATGTGCAATATAAATCTAAGTATATGTGTAAAATGCACACACCCCTGTCGTGAAACACCGTGTCCAGGTAGTCCACAATACGTGTGGAGTCGCTGATGACTTTGCCGTCGTGAACAAGTACAGGGACCAGGCCGGCAGGGTCCAGGCGCATGTACCAGGGTTCGAAGTTCTCTTGTAGAGGAAACAGAACTGTTTGTTTCTTGTAGGACAGTCCCTTCACGGCCAGGGCTAAGCGGACCTATATGTATAGTTCAACACGTCAACAGAGATGAAAATTAAATATCACCTCATCATCGGCAAGAATTACCTCCACCAGACAACAGCCTGTTACTGAAAAAGAGTCAAACTTAGCTAAATAGGGAAAAACTCATAGGGCCTCGTTTGCCCACGCAATATATTATTAAAGTCGCTTGGTACGTTCAAAGGCAACAAAAAAGCAATTCATTCATGTCCTGAGCAAACGCAGCACCTGAGTTTGCATTTTCATTCTTTAAAGCCTTAAATCTTCCGATGGGAGTTTGTTACCCTTAAATACCTTAGTGTCATTTTCCAAGGTTAACCGAATTCTACTAACGTACTGGCCTTAGGAGGCTAGTAAAATGGGATAGTATCATTATCATCATAGTATTCAGACCCCAGAAAACAAATCAGAACCCGGAAGCAGTAGACATCGTCATTATTATAAGTCCAGATATAATACCCTTCGTCTAGTGAGGAGAGAAGCAATGTAGAATGTCCATGTAGGCTCACAGGCTCCCTGGGGCCATAGAAATGTAGGAAATACTATATAATGTTAAAATGTAACCTTCATGGAAAAGAAGGAGGCGTCGCAATGGTAGAGAAGCAGGTCGTCGCTGGTACGTGAGGTTGAGGAGGCAGCCATCTTGAATGTTTACATTAGAGGGGTAAACCGCTAATGACCTATTGCAATGAAGGGCTCCTCTCCAGGGGTTCCGGATACGCGGAGTATACAGTGCAATTTTACGTAATACAGCGCAAGTTTACGGAATACAGCGCAAGTTTACGGAATACAGTGCAATTTTACGGAATACAGTGCAATCGTATTAGTATACAGTGCAATTTTACTAGTATACAGTGCAATTTTACGGAATGTACAATACACTATGCGTATGCACTGTATACTAATACAATTTCACTGTATTCCTTAAAATTACACTGTATACTAATACTGTTGCACTGTATTCCGTAAAATTGTACTGTCTATTAATACGATTGTACTATATTCCGTATAATTGCACTGTATTCCGTGACATTACACTGTATACACTGGAACCCTGCTCTCTGGGTGGCACATAGGATTGTGTCGTTTGCTTGTAGTCTTATTTTTATGCACATATTAAAGATTGACTAAGTAACAAGCAAGACATGCCATAAAAAGTCAGTATATTAGGGGGGTTATTAGTAATTAGTGCTGAAAAATCATTTGCACGAATATATAAAGGAAACGGAAAGAATAGAATGGCTAAAGTAAGTAAAAATGAACAGGCAAACACATACAAGTATACGGCATACTGAAAATGCCTTCTCTAAACTACATACAACGACCGAATTGAATATTGGAAGAGTACTACGTAGCTTATAAATGTAACGTATGTAGACACATCTGACAGGTGACCCGGTGATATCCCTGAGTTGTGATCATTGTATAGGGCTAGGATAGTAGACTTGCGATTTGGGTTAGGTCTCCCACATCACGACTAAATCCGTCCTACCCCCTGTCTCGGGTATATTTGATACCCTCAAGGGGGGGGGGGGCGAATGCCCTTTTCAGTAGAGCTTATCAGCCGTTTTAATTCTACGAAGAGCGTAGACGGACCGATCTAATTCAACGTAGAGCGTAATTGGCGCATTTTGCGTAGAGCATAATTCGTCGTTTTATTTTACGTAATGCGTTGTAGCTACCCGTTTCTTTGATATTCTTTAATTTGTATATTGCTTTTTGACCCGGGTGAGAATCCAAGTTTTTTCCACTAATACCTTCACTATTTTCCACGATCCCTCCCTCACATTTGCCATTCGAATGTTGCCTTTATAGTATATATGGTATATATGGTATATATTACGTTTTATACGTTTTTGGACCTCCAAAAAGTTATGGTACGCTCGGATATGGCATCGACCAGTCAGCGATATGGCATGGAAAGGCGACGACCGTTCTGAAAGGCGACGACCGTTCTTAAAGGCGACGACCGTTCTGAAAGGCGACGACCGTTCTGAAAGGCGACGACCGTTTACAAGACGGAAATTTGCGTTGTCGGCGCGCACGTTGGTCCTCCCGATCTTCCCACTCTCTTATTGTACAGCCTCGCATTTAATTATGTACATCTCTTTATAAGCTACATACATACCAAAAATGATATGTTGTTCCTTTCTGGACCTATGCGCTTTGAAAGATTTCGCCAGAAACTCCCTGCAGTTCCAGAACAATCTGTTAGGGGGATAAAAACCCACCAATTATTCCTGATAGTAAAAGCTATCTGTCATGCACCAAAAATCCAAGACCATAGCATGTTCAGAACAAAATGTACAAAAAACGGGAAGTTCTACTGCAGTACCAAGGACATCCACCAGGAGGCACATATTTAACATTGGCCTTTGTCTTCCTATGACCTACCAACATACCAAATATCATCACAATCCATAAGGGCGTTCTGAAGTTATGCCGACTACAAATGTGCGGAAACGCACACACACACACACACACACACACACACACACACACACACACACACACACACACACACACACACCAAAAACAATACCTCCATTTTTGATAAGACTACATGCACAAGCAAAATACACCATACAAAAGTAAACGCGGCTATGTGCCACCCTTCATTGCTATAGGCCTAGGTCATTAGCGATTTACCCCTCTAGTGTAAAGTTTAAATTCAATATGGCTGCCAAGTCAACCTCACGTACCAGCGACGACCTGCTTCTCTACCATTGCGACGCCTCCTTCTTTTCCATGAAGGTGAAATTTTAACATAGTATTTCCTACATTTCTATGGCCCCAGGGTGCCTGTGGGCCTACATATAACGTTACATTGTGCCTTGCTTCTTTCCTAACTAGAATGACATTATACCTACACTGACGATGTCTACTTCTTCCAGGTTCTGAATTTGTTTTTTGGGGTCTGAATATATACTATGATAATAATGATACTATCCCATTTTATTAGCCTCCAATGGCCAGTACGTTATGGTTAGTAGAATCTAGCTAAAGTAGGGTGAATAATTGGAAAGTAACACTAACGTAAAGGTAACAATTCCCATCGGAAGATTTAAGGCTTTAATGAATGTAAGTGCAATGTAAGTCACTGCAATTGTTCAGAAAATGAGTGGATTGCTTTTATTGCCTTTGAACCTAGCGACTTAATAATATACTGAGATTTTCCCTATTTATCTAAGTTTTACTCTCTTTTTTTTCATGAACAGTGTTGTTAATCTGGTGGAGGTAATTCTTGCCGATGATGAGGTGATATTTAATTTTCATCTCTGTTGTCGTGTTGAACTATACATGTAGGTCCGCTTAGCCCTGTACTGTCCTACAAGAAACAAACAGTTCTGTTTCATCTAGACGAGCACCTCGAACCCTGGTACATGCGCCTGGACAAGACCGGCATGGTCCCCATACTTGTTCACGAGGGCAAAGTCATCAGCGACTCCACACGTATTGTGGACTACCTGGACACGGTGTTTCACGACAGGGGTGTGTGCATTTTACACTTATGCTGTTTTATTATTGTATACATTCCACGGGGGACTGGCAGTATTTATATGTTCCTTAGCTTGGTAGAAGGATATTCTTTCTGCTCTGCTTCTTCCTCTTCTAAAATATATATATAAGGTCATTGACCTGAACCAGGCGTCTGTCACCATGTTAACTGGTGCTGTAGTAGGCACCCTGTGGTGTTGGATTACATTATGTAGCAAATGCAGCAGAAATATGTGTTCAAGCGAGAATAAACAGAGTAGTAGTTTGTTAGGCTGTTGCATGTGATGTATTTGCTTTTCTCTGTAAGTTTTTCTTGAATTATTTTTACAATGAAATTTCCCAAGCAATAAGACAACTTTAAGAGGGGTTAAAGGAGCCATTTACATCAGGGCATACCCACTTTGACCCAGTGCTGACGTCACACGTGGGTAAAAGTCACGTGTCCATAGCACTCGGGTCATAAAGCTGACGAAGACTGAGCGATTCAGTCGAAAATTTCTGGTGAGGTAAATTTTTTTTGAGTTGGAGAACATTTTAATTTTGATTAAATATGTGTGTTTGTATTGTCGTATGACTAGGACCTAGACTTGCTCCCCCATTGGACACGGACCTCGGTCGAAGGGTACGTCACTTCCGGGACCTGTTGGACGTGCTTCCGGTGGAGCTGTACACATACGGGACCTTGTATCACCCAGACCTGACTAAAGATTCTATGCTTCCCGAAATAATCCGTAGGGAAGGTCGCAAAGCTCGTAAGTATTTTTCATTGCCCCTTGTCCATGACGACAACACAATAGGACATGGGACATCTTCTCCCGTACACATAGTTTGCTACTTACAAATCCTGAACTATTGCCTCAGATCATAACGCTATACACTGACTTGATGTTGTGAATGACATCTCGAGCTCTGGGCACACCAAAGCCTATGTTTATTGCAAAAAACACAGTTTGGGGGGTAGCTTTCAAATGTCTATTGATCAAGCAAACAGTGTATGAAAAATAGCCTGAAAAGTCCAACGCACACATACTTACATTGCGCCCACTGGCTTCCCTATCTTAGAAAATCGGGTAGTTATTTTAACCATTCATCTTGTATATGTTTGTTATTAAAGAATAGTCAAGTCTTTTCACACACAAACCTGTACAATATGTACCTACAGTTGGCCCGTCCGCCGCCCAACGCTTACGGGACCTGGCCGCCATGCACCCTGACCTAGCGGAGGCGTACATCAGGAAGGCCGACAGGGTAGCGGAGAGGAGACGGAAAAGGGAAGACCGAGGTCTGATCGAAAGAATCCTAGACGAGCTTGAGGTGGTCTTAGACGAAGTGGAGAAGGAGCTGGAAGAAAGGAAGAAGGACAAGGAAGGTGGGAACCATTAAGAGGCAAAGTGATGATGATTATGATTATGTATGATTAATTTTAAGGCCAAGGGCATGTAACTTGACACTGAGGACCCGATTGGATTCCGGAAGTGTTACGAGAGCAACGGTGGTTGTAAGTCTATATCAGCCCCCGTCTCTGACGAAGAAGAACAGAGGAGAGGCCGAATATTCGAAGAGTACAGTATCTTTGTTCTGGAAACACTTAAACTCTTTCATCATGTTTTATGCATAGGTGAACTTTTATACTTTACATGTAACGTTTTTGCTATTTTCCCGACAGCTTCCGGACAGCAGCAGTGGCTGTGTGGCGAGTCTTTCACAGCTGCTGACGTCACGCTATCCTGCCTCCTCCACCGGCTCAAGTTCGTGGGGCTGACCCACCGGTCCACACAGAAGCGCCCCCTGTTGGAGGCCTACTACCTGCAGGCACAGCAGTTTGCCCCCTTCAAAGCTGAGGTTATGTACACCAATAACCTACCGTACGTGATCGTGAGAAACCTCCCCCGGTTGATCTATAAGTCGGCCGGCCCGAAGCTTGTAGTGTGGGCGGCAATGATGGTAGCAGTAGCCGCTGTTGCAGCTATGGTGCTCAAATATTAAGATGCCCAATGCAGTTTTAGGGCTTGAAAAGCAGAGTTTTCAAAGTCAATATTTCCAGTTTTGCTGCCCTGAAATTGCATTAGATATCTTTCACATAACATGTGCCTTGTGTCAAGTTGTGAAGTTGTATTGCGTTCTATTGCATTGTATTGAGGTTTTGCACCCTTCGAGCACAATTTAAAGGAAGAAATAGTTACCGACTTGTAACTCTTACACGCTTTCTGACAGTCAACTTCTTTAAAGTTTGAAGTGACCCTTTACGGCTCATTTCTCCATCAACTTCTTTAAGGTATCCCTTTAAGTTTCCTTAAGAGTAGACGTTTTGGTCATTGTAACAATTATGAATATTTTTTTGTAAACATTTCAAGCTTGTATGCTCCTAGATATAGCAAACAAAGAACAATATCGGGCCAGCTTTCTTTCTTTAGAGGGAAAGGTAATAATAATTGAAACAAATAGAATGAAAATAAAACAAGTTGTTATTACCCATATACACAGCTTTTTGATAAAAAATAATAACCTATCAAATGTTGTCCTCTGCTCAGAAGCAATACACCTAACTATACCTATGTATTAAAATAAAAACTTTTACCATGACTTTTACCAACATTTTTAATCCACCTCTTGCTAACATCATTCCTTGTTCTCCCTTCATGTGATTATGTTTACCTTCGCAGAAGGAAAATATTACTTAAAACTGCCCAAATGATTTCTAACTCTTTATTCTGATTGTATTCATCAGTAAAAAAAAAGATGCTGTTCCAAGCTCATATACCACTTTCTGGTCATGTTGTGTGATAACCAGTGGATACATTATTTATGATGTATAGCCCATCTTTTTTAGCTCTGATGATTTGATTTAAATGCTGTAAGCAAAAAAACAGAACAAAAATTACAACACTTCATGATGTGGACCACCTGTGTATCAATCTTTCCCTTGTATTATTTCCTGCATCCTTGTTTCTACTTGTCCAACAAATGCCGGGAAGTTACTGTCTGTGAGGCACAGGCGCAGGATGGCGTCCATGTCACCTGGGTCTGTACACAGGTTGGTCTGCTGGTAGGCTAGTGGAAGGTCACAGGTCACTGTGCCTGTCAAGATCTGTAAGGGAAAGAAAGTTGCTCAAATATTACCCTCGTAATATTTTAGTATGACCAAATATTTCCAATCTCAAACTATTATATCTGAAGCAGTGTTTTAGCAAGCCTCAATTTTTTTTCAATCATCTCAAGTTTGTTGGATGTAACATCATGTCAAGAACCCGATGCGCAACAATCCCAGGGGCATGCTCCTCTGGAAAAAATTGAAATCTTGACCCTTTAAATTGATTTTTGTCCAAAATTTTTGTCCGTCATGACATGATACGTCCAATGATGGAAAGATGAAAAAAGATTTTCCTACTGGGTCTTTGGTTGTTAATTCACCTTTGCCATATCAGACACTGTGACACGGCCATCAGTTATTTGGAGTGTTTCCTTTGTGATAACAGCCCCTGTGTCTGTGTCTTCCTTTTTGTCCTCTTTCTGCTTGTCATCATCTTTATCTCTGGATTCTACTGGTGTTGAGATCACACTGAAAAGTAGGGAGCATTTTACTAAAATAGTGATTGAGGTAATGCATTAAGATTCAATTAAAAAGTAGAAATAATTTTTTTTTTCATACAGGAGATATAAATGGTGCAAATGACCAATTGGTCAGCCTGTGGTTGTGTATTGTCTCTTTTGTATCCACAGTTTGCCTGTATGTTTAGCTAAAGACCTTACAAAGGTTGCTGTACTTTTGTTGTTTCAATAAAGATTGTTGTTTCATCTCATTAAATGAACATCCTTATACATAGAATGTCTAGATATGTAGCATTATAGAAATTTTGAAAACAATTCCATTCAGGCCGGCCTGGAAAATTTCAAACAGGCAGCACTTTTTTCAATCAAAAACAAACAAACAAACAAAAACAAACAAAAATAACTTTCCCACCCACCCACCTTGTGTTAACTGGGAGGTACTTGGACAGCTCTCTGACACACTCAGCACAACATGCAATACCAGACTGCTCGCCAGAGGGCGCCACTTGAACACGAAACATGCGGCTCTGATTGTTGAGTTTGGAGACAAACAGTAGACTGTCCCCCTTATGGACGGCCTTTAACCACTGTGGTGCATTGTGTAGAGAGAATCCCTCCAAGACTTCCGCTCCTGCATATGCATAGCAAAATTAACATTTTTCCTGTAACTTTATTTAAATAATGTAGAAATGTGATATTTTTCTGGGTTCAAAAAAGTATACATTATAGTTTCTACATAAAATGAACAAAAAGGCACAGATTTTCACCAGAATAATGACATTTTAGAGCTTGCATTTAATTGCGGATTGATAGTCTAAACTGCCTACGGAATGGTAAGTGAAACTACGGTCAGAGACCTTAACAGTTGCGAGTTGAAGCGCATTGTTAATCGCATAATCTATAGGATAATGCAATGTGGACGTTGGAACAGGCAGTTCATCTGTACAAAACTGTATTTTTGAAGATCAGAAACGTTGCATTTGTGATTTTCATAAATTATTTGTGTTGTAAAGTTACAAGCGCTCAGTGGAAGGCAAATCAGCACCAACCTTTGGTCAGCAATAAATGGTTTGTTTCCGTAAGAGAAAGGGACAGAACTCCGTCGTCAGACCCAAAAAGCTTCCATGTTCCTTGAGGTTTGGGCTTTTCATCTTTTCGCGAGGCAGTTAGATCATCCGAAGCTACGAATCGTCCGTAACGGAGCAACTTCCACACCCTCCTACTTTGTTGTTCAGCAGACATTTTTAATTTTTGGACTGTGCCACTGCACAAGAATGAAGAGGTAACATGCTGTATTCTGCACACTAACTCTACCAAAAACAAACTTCATAAGTAACGTTAAATATGTATTCAAAAGCATATAATAGATAGTTTTATAATCATAAACGTATCATTCGGCATTGATTTGAATGTATGGTTGATTTATTTTCCTAACTCTACATCGATGTTACCTTCCTTAGACGTGGCACAATCCAAGATGGCGACCGGAGAAAATGGCGGGAGGAAACAAATTTACCCACGATGAGTACAAAAAAAGATCCCTTTTTAGCGCTAAAAAACCTCGTGTCGACGTGCTTTTAGGTCAGATTTTATTCATAATTAGTTAAATAAGTCATTGAATATTTGGTTGGCATCTGCACGTACCGATAAAGACCTGGGCAGTCGGCATTGATGTGGACGATCTTGCACTGAGGTTTTCGTCTGCAACTCTACACTCCGCTAATGGGTAGACTTTCCTGCGCCGAGGAAGAGTCAACTTTTGCACCGATCTGCTGCAGCAATAAACATCTCCATTTTTATGAGCAATCATAAACAACAGAGATGCCGAAATTCTTAGCTGTGGACTACTTGGCTGAGGTAAGTATTGCTAACAAACATGTTCCAATTTGGGTATTAAAACGCCCCCCTATAGCATGATGTCGTCTGAACCGTTATATTTGAAATAACAGATATCAACGTGTTTTGCATTTGATTAGTATTTTTTTTGTACCATATTTTTATTTTGACTGCTATCATAGATTTTGGACATTGGGAAGTAAAAATAGCACCAAATTAAAAAAGTCAATAATCAATGTGAAATCCTTGAATTAATATGACCTCTCTACTCTTTTCGATAAGTGCGGTGGGTTCTTTAACGTCCTATCCTAGGGACGCCCCTAACCGATGCGTCAGTGCACCGAGTGCAGTGAGGAAAGTCGTGTTAAGACAGTCTTTCCCAAGGGGACAGGATCAGTGGCATCGGGCAGGATTCGAACCCGGGACCTCTTGGGTCTGAGGCAAACACTCTACCGTTACGCCACACGACCCCACAATCTTAACTTTGAAAGATAGGAAATGATTCAAACTTCCAAAACCCTCCCGTATTCCAGGCGGTACGCAGGCGGCGTGACTTCCTCAGCCGTACCCTCCTGACCATCCCCCATCACATGGACCAAGTGGAGGCCTACTCTCACCGAGGCATTCTACCTGACGACACCTACCGCAAACCGTGGCAGAGAGGTCAGTTAGGATCAGCATGTCGGCAGAACGTACTGCGCCTGCGCAGAACCCCGTATTTTCGCATTTTTTTTTGGGTTTTTGGTCAACGTTGCATCAGAATTTTGCCTGTTGCAGAGGATATTCTTTCCGACATAACATTTGGAAACTACTGTCGAAATGCTAACCTTATATGAGCGAAGACAACCTTATATGAGACATTCTGCCGAAAAGCTATGTACAATACATTACGGGTTTTGCGCAGGTGCAGTACGTTCTGCCGACGTGCTGTTAGGATCTATTGTGGAGTAGGCCATACCAAATGATATTTTTTAAATAGAAAATTCTGGAAAATCCCTTTGACTCCATTTTACTTCAGCTCAGTGTAAGAGCCTACAAGGTGAGCACCAAGTGGACCAAGTCCGAGAGGATCTTGCCTTACTGTGTGGCGGAGTGACAAGTCTGAGACTGGAGGAGTTTGATACAGGAGAAAGGTACAATTGTTTTAGTATGTAAATTTGAAGTTGTTTAGTCTTCTTATGAATCTAAATGATTAATTTTTAAATCTTCCAGTCCACACAGAAAGTAACAGCAGGTGCAAATACTCAGGTTACTATGGGAAAAACAAACTAAGTTAATTCTAAGTCTCAAGTGAGGAAGACACATTTCCTTTTAATATACAATATGTTCATCTATCTTCAGTCTATAAATCTTCACTCTTGCCCAAGCATAAACCAGTTTTATCACTTTTTTATGTTCAAAGTTTCAACTATCACCTTAAACAAGGATGAAAATCTTTCGTTCTTTTTCTTTTTTTTGAACAGGGATGTATCTGTGTACTACCATAACGAGGTTGTTTTTGAGCTGATCCCGAGCTCTAACCCAGCGTCCCAGGACAACAGTCAGGACTGGGAGGACCTGGTGGAGGGTGTCGTCAGGCCTGAGGGCTCATGGGAAGACTTCTGTCAGGAGGACCTGGATTCATATGCTGATGGTAAAGGAAACTTTTGTTACTCCATGAAGAGGTCAGTGACCTCCGTGGCAGAGTATTGTAGTGAATTGGTCCTGTAGTATGCTTGAGGTGATGCACAATAATTGCACAGTTTGATTTTTTTTACACAGTAGGAGTTTTTTTATAAGTAATGTTAGAGTTTACTGTAATATTTCAGTAGAAAGCACCCCTATCTTGAAGGACTTGTGGAACAGGTCATTAATCAAACTGGCTTTTGTTGGTGTGCGCTAATAATAGCTATAGGGTTTTCTCCTGCAGATGTTGACTTATCTATAATGTTTTAATGCCCATTGTGAAGCGCTATAATAGCTGTTGGGGTACTCTGTAAAATTCTCAAGAAGGTCACGAGCATTGATAATTATAGTTTCTCATATGAATGTTACACCATATCACAGTTGTGTCTCATGTCTGTTGCAGTCCCACCTGACTTACTTGAAGAGCCTGCATCAGAAGACACCATGGGCAGGTACAGGGCCCAGCTGCCTGCTCTACAGGCCATGTGTGACAGACTCAAACCCAAGATGGTCCAGGATCCTTTCATCAGTTCACAAGGAAAGGGCTACTACTCAGAGAAGGACATATTCAAGTAAGCTTTGAAGAATCAATATGATACAAATCCTTTTTAGTGAAGATCAAATCATTACCTGATACTAACTACATCCAATGCAGTTTTGATTTTATTAATGGGGATCCCAACAAAACAAACAAACAGTGTGTTTTTTAGGTTGATAATAGATTGCTTGTTTCAGACCTTAAGATATTTGATACTTCAGTGTTTGATGCATGCATGAATTGCCTTCTTTAACTGCGAAAAATGAAGAAAATACAAAGTAGCTCTTTGTTTACAAATTTATTTTTTACAGAGAAGATATGAGTCCCACGGAGTACAAAGTTGATGTAGTAGAGAACCATGTGCTAGGGGAAGTGTTTGAGAAACAACCCCTTTTGGATGCAGAGGTAGGCGAGTGATGATTTATAAAAAACTGTAATTGACTTTTGGTCATGATAATTTTAAATGGCAGCTAGCTTTTGGGCTAGGGATCAAAATTGAGCAGGATTGCTGGAGAAGGAATGAACAAATTTTCATGATTTCTGTTTCATGAGTTGTGGGTAACTTTGTTTGATACACACCAAATTCTGTACTGACAACTTTGGATAGGGGATGCTGGAAGATGAGTTGCTACCACTCACATCTACCCCGGGTTCTGATGGTCAGCTTCTTCCCAGCAGCCAGCAGCTGCAAGGGATGCTGGGTCTTCAGGAGGAACCATTGGAGAGTAGTGGTGAGCCCGAGGTGCGCTCAAGTCAAGGTGCGTACTTACATTGTTTCAACATTACTGTACACTAAAACTGCAATAAGTAATACTTTTTGTGTTGTGAACCACGAAATATATATTACTTCATACAGGAAAAAAATGCAACGAAATTGATAAATCAGCTCTCAAAACAACTTCTTCATAACCTGTCTGTTGAAAGTGCATTTGGGTTACCTGTAAGCTTTTTATACTAGTCTAGTATTTAACACTTCCAGTGAAACATCCAGAAACGTCCAGAAATTAATCATACCGCTTTCAAACGGCTTCTCTTTGATCTGAGCTCTCGGTGCTTGAGAAATGTACTGATGAAAAAATACCAAAGGGATAATTTCTCTGTCTTGCCTTTATCAGACTCATTTTAGGTACAGGCAAGATGGAGAAAGAATTCCTTTGGCATCTTTTCATCAAGGGCTGAGAGCTTGGATCAAAACGATGTGGTTTGGATGCGGTATGTTTGTGGGGTCTGTTTAGACTTCTAAATCATGAATCATTTTAACTTGCACAGGCTCGAAATTCATTTTTGAGAATAGGTGCAAAGTTTCTTGGGTACACCATATAAGATTAGAATATTTTTCAGCAAAAACAAATTTTGTTTTGTACAATAAAATGATTTTTATTGATATTATTCAGATGTTAAGAAAATGTTGTATACTGTACTGTACATTTGATATCTTTACATCCATAAACCTACAAAAATACTTGGGTGCACAGGTGCACGGTCCACAGAACCAAATTGGGTGCAGTGTGCTGTACAGTGTCCTACTGACACTTGGGACCTCCTTCCCCTTGTCCATTCCATAAGGACCCCTGTTGTCTCTTGTTGACGGACAGCCTCTGTCGTAGTTAAATGCCTTCATGTCGGCCTCTTTTGGCGTGCCTCCTTGGTTTGATGATTGGTTGTGTGCCGTTTGATGTTCCTTGACTAGTGACATATGTCAGTGACGTATAACGTGACCCGCCTCTTGGCAGTGTCACTGTCCCCTTGACTGATTGTGTGACTTTTGTTGTCCGTTAACGTTGGTTAGTGACATTTGTCAGTGATGTATAACCTGCTAGTGTATGGTCCCTTGGCAGTGACTGACCCCTTGATTGGGTGACTGGTTGAGTGCCGTTTGTTGTCCGTTGGTTAGTGGTATTTGTCAGTGACGTATAACCTGCTAGTGCATGGTCTCTTGGCAGTGACTGGCCCCTTGGTTGGGTAGCTTTATGCGTGATGTTTGTTGCCTGTTTGCTAGTGACATTTGTCAGTGACGTGTAACCTGTCCCCGTAGGCATTGACTGACCCCTGGTCATAGAATGTGGCTGAAGCTGTGGTCCTGGGTCTTCATCTTGGGTCACTGCGTATGGCTGAAGCTGTGGCCCTGGGTCTTCATCGTGGGTCACTGCGTATGGCTGAAGCTGTGGTGCTGGGTCTTCATCGTGGGTCACTGCGTATGGCTGAAGCTGTGGCCCTGGGTCTTCATCGTGGGTCACTGCATATGGCTGAAGCTGTGGCCCTGGGTCTTCTTCATGGGTCACTGCATACGGCTGAAGCTGTGGCCCTGGGTCTTCTTCCTCATGGGTCACTGCATACGGCTGAAGCTGTGGTCCTGGGTCTTCTTCGTGGGTCACTGCATACGGCTGAAGCTGTGGCCCTGGGTCATCTCATGGGTCACTGCATATGGCTGAAGCTGTGGCTCTGGGTCTTCATTAATGAAGGTCGTTGCATACGGCGCAAGCTTGCCGTTTTTTCCTTTTCCTGACACATCCATGTATGACACAGCGTACGGCTCAATGTCATCGTTGTCTTCAATTGGCCGGTTGTCATCGTTGTCTGGTTCCGTTGGCTGGATGTTAGCAAATGATGTTGTTGCGTATGGCGCAAGCTTGCCATTTTTGCCTTTCCCAGACACATCCATGTATGACACAGCGTATGGCTCAATGTCATCGTTGTCTTCAATTGGCTGGCTGTCATCGTTGTCTTCCATTGGCTGGATGTTAGCAAAGGATGTTGTTGCGTACGGTGCAAGCTTGCCATTTTTCCCCTTCCCTGACACATCCATGTATGACACAGCATACGGCTCAATGTCATCGTTGCCCTCTGATGTCTGGTCCTCAACAGGACCCGGTTGTCCACCTGTGACTGAGTCTCTGTCCGAAGGGGCGGAGTTTCCATCTGTTTCAGCAGGGGCGTTGTGAGGGGCCAGACCTGTGTCGTGACAGCGTTCGTACAAGTAGATAACAACCACCCATACCAACACCATGAGGAGGGGCACAGCAACAGCCAGGATGACGGCATTGACGTGGTAACTGTCATCTTCCTCGGTAAGGATTGGGCCCAAACTTGGACGAGTGACAATGTCAGTCCCGGTTGTAGCCAGGCTTGTTGTAGCCTGGAACTCTGAGCTTGGCGTGGTGTTTGTGTATGACATCTCTGTGGGAATGGTGTCATTCTGCAGACTGGTGTGGTGGGTAGGTGGACCAGTTGTGGTGGACGTTTTGTCACATCTCCCCAGCCTGATGTCCTTCCTCACGGTGGCAAGCAGAATGCCGCTCAGGTTGGCAGGCGATGCACACTTCAGGAACTCATGGTCAAAGATGTGATCCAACTCTGGCAGGTTACAGATGAACCAGGTGAGATTCGCATCACATTTCAGCTGGTTTTTTGCTAGGTAAAGCTGTAGGCCCTGGTTGTGGCTCAGACGCAGGACCTGGCTGTCGATCGTGGTGATGCGGTTTGTTTGAAGGCTTGCATACTTCAGTGCCGTAAGCGGCAGGAGTGCGTCGACAGGCACGGAATACAGACAGTTCTCGTTCAACCACAACCTGACCAGGAGATGTAGGCCTCGGAATGCACGCTGGGATATGACGGAAATGGCGTTCCTTTGAAGGTGCAGGGTTTCCACCTTCTCAAGCCCAAGGAAGGTATCGGATTCTGAGGATATACAAAACAGAATATAGTAAATAATTTGCAGGGTTTTTTTTATTGATTAAGTCAAGATTAATTAACTATTAAGCAACTATCATGTACTTGTAAATTTGTTTATATCTAGTTTTATTCATTTTTGTGTCTGCCTAATAGCAACTTGTACTATGTACAAGTGGCTGCATTGTATTTTAGTGTATAATGAATTGAAACAATAATAAACCAATCTCAAAGATGGCGGCAACAAACACCACATAAATTTGTACCAGATCGAACTGAATAGATTATTAGCTGACTGAATCAATCTGGTCAACTTAAATTTTACCCAAATGGGAACATTCCAGGTATCTCCAGCTCAATCCAGCTCAGCTACATTTGTATGATGCCCCTAGTAAGATGAATTGTAGCTGAGTCTGTTAGGTGGCAGATTGTCTGATTGATTCAGTTAGCTAATCTACTCGGCTCAATCCATCCTAGTGGGGTAGGGGCCTAACAATACATAGTAATTTTACACGCACTGTAGGTTATAATCTGCTATTTCTAAGTAAAACATGAAATATTAAAAACTTAAATATCAGGAGCCCAAAATATACATTTTTGTCAACGTACCAAGACTGGAGATACGGTTGTCTCTGAGGGAAAGGTCTCTCACCAATGGCAGACCTTGGAAAGCCCCTGGCTGCACCGTGGACACGTTGGACTGCATGATCCAAAGGAACTGAACTTTTGGGCTGTTGGGGAAAGACCGCTCCAAAATGGTAGAAGAACAGAGATGCTTGATGAAGATTGATGACGTGGCTTTGTGGAAGTTGGTTGGTATGGCGTCGAGACATGGAGAGAAGCTGTACGTTCCTCCGTATCCAATCCAGCTGCAGGGGGACCCCGCCCAGTTTTTATCTGGGCAGTGACAGATGACTTGTTCCAACATATATACGGGAATGGAGCGACAGCTGTCAGGGCACCGTAAAGCTGGTGCCGACACAAGCAGTAGCTGATTGGAAACCAGGAGTAGGAAGTACAGCAGTGCCTTGTTTTGTACCATGGTGGTCACAGATTTCTGTTCGCTTGTTTGCTGCAACACGCACCGAGCCTTCAATGTTTATGTACCGGATAGGATGTCCTGTAGCATACAATATACATTTCATGTTTTACAATAGTTTACATCAAATATTTAAGTCTGCGCCACATGCATTTTAATGGGATTGGACTCCTAAGATCTGAAATACCCGCAGTTTGCAGTTTTGCATAGACATTTTCAATATTGTAGAAGAAAATTATTTTTCTGGAAACAGCCAAAAATTAAATATAGGGACATATTTTCCTTCTTAAAGCAGTCATAATAATGACGATTGTTACAGATTCACTTTAGCAACTTGTTTTTGAAGATAGAAGCGATGCCTATAAGTATTGCTGTAAGAGAAAGCTACAGTGATATTCAGTAACAGCTGTATACCACTCTGGCCGTAACTTAGCTATAACTGTGTTTTTTGGTGATCTATGATTATGTCCATGCTCCATATGTCCTTTTCGAGATATGCATACTATATTTACACTCAAGTATAGTGAGTTTTCTAAGCTCATTTCGAACATTGATAATCCAAACAATTCATTTCTAAATGACAGACATTGAAGCACTGGTTACCTGCTCAAGAAAGACTTGTTCAGAAGATATCAAACAACAAGAGAAATTGGAGTTCAGTGAGGATATCACTAAAGAGGAGGCAACCCTTCAAGACTTCTCAAAACTCAACTCACAAGGTCTCCTCTCTTTGCTTCTTGAGTTTTTTGAGTAACATGATTTTGCTGTTTTGTACTATTAGTTAAATGTTGAAGTATCATTTACCCTGTACTGTAGTAGGTCAAATACTTTGCAGGAGGAAAACATATTGGTTTTGCTCTGTTTCTTCTTCCTCTTCTTCTCCAAGCAAATAAGATCACTAACCTGAACCAGATATCTGTCCCCATGGTAATGAGTATTGGGTTACATATGCATCATGTTACATTTTATAGCAGGAGGGATTTAGACTCCTGTCACCATATATGTGAATGTGTTTGGGTATTAGAATTAACAGAGCAGACCATTATGCATTTGCTTTGCAAATGTTACCTTTCTAGTTATCTTTTATTTCAGAACTGGAGTCTAAGTCTCCTTGTCAGGTTGAGAAATCCCTGTTAGAGTCTCCAGCTGAAGCCACTCAAGTTGAGGACCAGCAAGATACCCTCAAGGAGATGATTTCTGAAGTCACCCCTTTTGAGATGTCTCCAAACCCTTCTCTGTGAGTCTTCAAGACACATTTAGTTTGTCTAAAGTCAAAACAGTTAACCAAATTCCTTGCAATCATGCAGAATTATTCTAAGAACATATTATTAAAACCCCTCAGTAATATACATCAGAAAAATCAACAGACTAGACACTTTTGTACCTCTTTACATTTTATGTGTTAAATTGCAATTTACCTCTAGGATCTACATCATTTACTGCCTAGTAGTATCCAGTCTTTGAATGTGACTGCCTACGACACTGAGACTGCATATATATGATAAGCATTGACAACATGTTCTAATGTTACTTTCAGTACGGTACTGACACCAAACACAAGGAAGAAGGAAGAGGACAAGGTGTGGAATAAAGAGAAGCTGTTTGATGATATCATCTCCTTGACCTTCCCTGGTAAGTACTTATTGATGTCTTAAAATATCAGGCCTCAAAATCCTTTTTTTCTGCACATTCATTACCTACACAGGTGCAGGATGACTTTTAAAATTACCTGTACCACATAAATTTGTGTCATTGAAATCAGTCTGGACAAACAATTTTCCTAACCCAAATTGAGCAGAAATGTTGAGGAAGTATAATGTAGGATCTGTCCTTGGTGCTGAACACTACCCAGAGTGTTATACACTGGAAAGGTATAAAAGTGAGAACTTCGAGAATGTGTTATTTAGCCTCTGTAACGTTACGCATTAAGAAGCCCACAGGGCAAAACTGTTCGTGACAGGCTGAAGAAAAGTTCTAAATGGAAACTATATGGCTTCAGATGTCTTACTGTGGGAGGACTGTGGTGTGCTAGATGTTGGTTAGCTTGAGGAATGAATCCACTCTCTGATGATTTGATAAAGCATGATTTTCATATCCATTCCTTTCCTTCCTCTTACATGTAGTTCCTGAGTTAGAGGAGGCTCCAAGCTCCAGACAGTTGCACCTAGACACAGCAGAAGAATTAAATCTCCAGTATGATGACTGTGGCAGTGATTTGGAGCTGTCTCTGCCCTGGGATCCCCTTGTCTACTCCTCCAGGGTCATGGCAACAACTGTCCTACATGAGAAGATTCTGTCCAGCCAAGAGACAACAGCAAAGATTGTCACAGGAAATGTACAGGAAAGGTTTGACAAGTACACACCAGAGGAACTGAACTGTGAGTAGACAAGAGTGCTACTCTAAAGTAATGTGATCCAATATGCCATAAATAGAACATCCAATGAAATTTCAGGGCGACAAAACTAGAAATTTCATGGATGAGAAATATCTGTCTGATATTGACATTTACTGCCATTTCTTAGTAGTCACTATTTCATATTTAAAGCATTAGAAGTAGCCGATATACAAGCTATATGAGGAGTCCCTTTATTTTTGGGTACCACCCCCAATTAGCTATGATACAAAACAAGCAACTGTTTTCTATCAGGAACACCATATTTTTGCCAGATATCAGTATGCTACGGGATAGGGTTGATTCAGTGCTACATTAAAACAATGACCAGACAATTGATTAAATGAAAATCCAGTTTTGTTGTCTTGAAATTATATTGTACATGTATTGAAACCTAGTCACAGTTTACATTAAATTGTGAGAAAATATAGCATGCTTTGCATCGTAGTTTTAAGGAATAAGATTTTTATCTACTTTGATGCATTTGTTCATACATGTAGCATCCCTTGATCAAACAATTGAGAATGCAGCACAGAAAGAAGTTAGTGAAGGTCCACAGCCCCCAAACGGCATACCAAGCATCAGAACACAGACAGGTGAAGAAAAAGAGATACAAGATTTCATTTCCTCATTTTCACAAAATGGCATATTCCAGAATGAAAGAACAATCATTATGAACACTGTTTTCAGCACCAAGGACAGGTACTGTATAAAACCATGTTTTTGTTTCTTTCGTTTCGCTTTGATGCAGAAACGTGGGTGAGAAAGACTTGGATTCCACCAGTCAAGCCACAGACAAAGGTAAAACAGGTTCAATTAATTTATCATATGTAAGAAATAAAATAGAACTAAAGATAATAGACATATCACTTACTAATAAATATCTTTAAACTGTGTATTCTAAGCAGTGCAGTTAATTGTGACAGAGGATAGCTACGGATTTGGATACCAAAGTTGGGTATATACCTTCATGTTCCTTGCATTTTTGGGGGCACATTTACCTTCCTTTAAAATATTTAAGATATTAAGTGATTGAGAAGATATTTGTCTACATTTCTGTAGAAAATATTGCAGCTTTTTTTCCTAAAACGTGCTATTTATTTTAGTTTCTGTAGTAAAGATGAACCTTTTCTATTGTTATAACAGCTACATGAAAGTGTATCTCCACCCAAGAAGAAGTCAGTCTCTGGACCTTGGAGAACTGATTGTCCCATAGACCAGTTCCTGATGATCAGGACTGGGAAGACACAAGAAAGCCCAGCTGGTGTCAGGACTACCATGCCAAGTGAGAGGCTTTATGCTTTGCTGCTAAATGTTTTTCCATCATACTCCTACGTTGTGTCTTTCATTTTTTCAGCATATTGTAATTATATCTGCCTGCCATTGACTTTGGTAGACATTTTGTTTATTCTAATGTCCAAACTAAACTTCAATGTGTGATAGTTAAACTAGCATTGGTGCTCAGCATATCTGTCACAAGCTTCATATGGCACCGTGTTCCTTTGGCAGAAAATACTGCCAAAAAAGACTTTTTATTAATTGTTTTATGTACTAATTTAACACCAATTTCATGTCTTTTACTTTCTAGAGGCACAAGCTCGAGCCATGAAAGTTCCGCAGACTCCCTTGATACGAGCAGATTTGGAGCCAAGAGAGCCCAGGACCCCCGGTACACCAGGGTCAGCCATCCCCAGCAAACAGAGCAAGAAAAAAGTCAAGAGCAGAGTTGTAGAAGTCAAGCTGTCGGGTGAGGTATTCTTGTACTATTTCTCCCAGTAATATGTTGTCTAATTTTCTTGGGAAGCCACTCAATGTTTATGAGGTTGAATTTTACATAAAGTTGTCAAGTAGCTCAGAATTTTTTTTTTTCAGATTCTAAAGTAGAGCTTTTGTTGTAGTTGTGGATGACAATGTGTAAAATAAAGTTAAGGAAACTTCTCTATTTGTATTTGTTGCCTGAAACTGCTAAGCTCCAAGAGCTCACCCTCATCATGTACAAAATATGTAAAAATCTTTGTCTTTAAAGCATGCTGGCATGCTGTAGTCATATAAAGGTAGTCCTATAGTGTATTTTGAGGGTGTATGGACAGTGGGTATTTGTCCACTGTACATGTGTTTACGGCATGGCATTGGAAGGCGGAGCCAATCCCTCTCCTTCCACCGCCTTTTACCTCCCCAACCAAAGTCAGGTACTACCCATTTTACCACAGAAAAGTTGTTTAAGTGTCTTTTCAATGGACACAACATCTAGCAAGGAATACAAGGGATCGAACCCACGACCGCTCCATCTCTTGTCCGCTAACCTAGCCACTTGGCCATTAGACATGTATCTGTATCTGTATAGCTGGTATAACGGCCCTTCGGCGTGACACACCAGCTTTGCATGCATGCGAGTGGTGACAGCTTTCGAACATCTAACCCTAAACATTGTTTAAAGGACAAATCCAATACTTTCAGTTTTGGGGCCTTTCCACCCAAAATCCTATTTGTAAATGGTGATTTATTGGTTTCTGCCAACTCCGCACATATTTGCGGTTATATCTGACCCGCTCGATGTTCCCCGGCTAGAGCCCGATTGTCCGCTAGGCGGCGCAGCGACTGTAGATTTGACGTCACCGTTTCCATTCTGCTACTAGCGAAAACAATCATGGCGGGCGCATCTGGACTGCATCGGCTGTGAAACCCTTCCGTTTTGAGCCACAGACAGACAGTAGTGGTGACTCTGACCCCGATCCAGGCGATGAGAACGTTTGGGAAGGAGGTGACGTGGAGACAGAGCGTTGGAGGTTGGACGATCGATGTAAATAAATTTGTCAAAGGGTTGAGTGAATTGCAACGTAAACAAACCGCGGTACCGACCTGTTAGAGACCGGCTCCTGCACGCCCTGCTGGATCAGATCCCAACGAAAAATCAGCAAAGTTCGGAGGTTTGCCGGGTGGAGAATCACATCGAAGTCAGGGTGGTTTCTAATGCATGGGTGGTCTGGACCGACGTTCTTTTTGAACAGTGTCTGGCAGGTCGTGGCAACAAACACTCCCGTACAGAGGGCAATTCCAGGCAGTTTCCACAGCGGCACCAGTCCCGGTTCCCCAACCTCCAACGCTCTATCTCCACGTCACCTCCATCCCAAACGTTCTCATTGCCTGGATCGGGGTCAGAGTCACCACTACTGTCTGTCTGTGGCTCAAAACGGAAGGGTTTCACAGCCGATGCAGTCCAGATGCGCCCGCCATGATTGTTTTCGCTAGTAGCAGAATGGAAACGGTGACGTCAAATCTACAGTCGCTGCGCCGCCTAGCGGACAATCGGGCTCTAGCCGGGGAACATCGAGCGGGTCAGATATAACCGCAAATATGTGCGGGGTTGGCAGAAACCAATAAATCACCATTTACAAATAGGATTTTGGGTGGAAAGGCCCCAAAACTGAAAGTATTGGATTTGTCCTTTAAAGCTATAGTGAACATAACCGTTACAATAATCTAAATACTCATGTTTAAACTGTTGTCAGCTGAGTATGAGGAGCTGTGTGAGTTTCTGGAGAACAGTGCCCAGCCCGTGATGACGTCCATGTGTGAGTTTGGAGTCATCCCAGCATCTCACACATTCGAGTCCCTCACACCTGACATCACCCTGTTCCTACTCAAGCAGCAACAGAAGACATTAAAGGACACATCAGAACCAGGTGAATTTGTTAGTAATAGATGTAAGTAAACTGTAGCAGAAGGTACAAGTTTGGAAGTTACCGTTTTAGATATTAAGTCTGTAATTATTACTACCAACATTCAGGGTGGACTAATTTGGAAAACTCACCAACTTCTAACAAATTTCAGAGGAATTTACCTATATATGTTTGATTAGTAATTGAATGAAGCAAATAAAACACCCTGTGTGGCTTAAATGATGAAGAACTAAGTTTGCTTGTATAAATGTTAGTTATTATTCCAATGCCATGCTCGTCTAAATGTTAGTTAATCCAATGCCATGCTAAATCTACATGCTGTAAAGTTGTCTCTACTCTTGGTGCTGAAAGTACAGTACACGTAACATAAATGACATACATGTATGGCTTGCTTGAATATATTAAGAACTAGGACTGGTATGATATTTTTACTGCCTTGTGCCCTACAGGTGCAAACCTACAGCAGTGTTACCGGCTGTCCCTGTGCCTTCATACCCTAGTGACTGCAGCTGATCTCTTACTGCATAGTGGACTGGTGACTGGCATAGGTAGGACCATTGCATAATCTGACTTCATTGTCTTGTAACAACCAAAAACTAAGTGTGTTGGCTTCTTCAATGTACAGTGGTTTCCATATCTGTCATGAAGCTTTTTTTGTTATTGAATTACACAGTTATTTCACACTTCTTTTGTTTTAATAGTTCACCTTGGAGCAGTTCAAGACAAGTACAAGGAGACCTTGGGAGGTGAGCTACAGTAGACACAAATAGGCAATAAAGAACCTTCATACTTAACTTTAGTGTATATCTTTGACTTGTGCCTGTTTGTATGCATTAAATTTATTGCCTGTTGTATGTGCTACTATGTTGAATAAGAAGACTATTCATGCTACCACATGTTTTATTTAATTCACATTTCGGTGACCACCTGTCACCTTCCTCACTTGGTTGTGTAAGTCTTCTTAATATTCACTTGTTCAATCCTCATGAAACAACTATGTTATTTTTTGAGCCGTAGAAGTTTAAGATTAGCCCATAAAAGGGGCTTAAGTGTATTTCAAAATACTCAGCTCAAACAGAACTTACAGACATTTTGTCCCCATGTTTTTTTTTTCAGATAGCCTGGAGTTCATTCACCATCACCTGTGTCAGACCCACTGCCTGTTCCAACAGAAAAAGGTTCTGCACCCCAAACTACTGGAGATGGCAAAACAGATAGCTGATTGGAGGGTCAGGAAGAAGTGTAAGAGCAGTGACCAGGATCCAAAGGTAGTCCTAGCATCTAAAATCTTGGTTGATCTCTGTAAGATTTTGTCCCATGCTAGCTAGAATCTGATCTCAGATGTACTCTTTTCTTTCATTTTGAGAAACTGATGAAGATATTGGTCCATTGGTTTTAGAAGACATGCAGTTGTTGGTTGGAGCAAACCAAAGCTACATAAGATTGTACATGACTGTTTAAGATCTAATTTGTGTTCTAGATCCTGATCATACTAAAGGCAGATCCTCCACAACTGGTCACAGATGTTGTTGACATGCTCCAAACTATTGAAGGTTTGTGTCAAACACTGTCCCAATATATAATCCATTTTCTCTTGGCATTAGGGATATTGCTTATTGCTTACTTTGTCTTTCTTTTTGCACTGATTTGTCTGTGTTTTAAGTGTTGTTGTTTTTTTTCATTAGGAATCAACTCTGTGTCCACAATGAGCTCAGCTGATATCAAGGGACAGGTGACATCTGAAGAAGTAGTAAAAAGGTAAGAGAAACACATGTTAATATGTTCATTTCTTGCACATAATAAGGGGTGGTACTGCACTTTTCTATTTTCTTTTGCCACCCAGAAATTACATTGGATGCCTTCAAACAATTCCTGTCTAACTCTGCCCAGACTTGACAAGAGTGACTGTCTGGTGGTGTGCAGTAGTATCATTGGTAGTGACTTCCCCTGGGCCCAGTTCTCCCTGGTAGTGGAGTACCAGTATGAGGAAACCTCTCCATGGCTGGAGCTGTGTAAGAGACAACACATCAGACATCTGGCACTCAAGACACTAGGGCCATGGGAGGCTAGGAGTGATGGTAACAATTATTGTAGTCTGTAACTTTCGGTAAGCTTTAAGTAATACAATTTTTATCACTATCAATATATGATAATTATAGAGAAAGTTGGTCCTTTTTTTTCAAAATTGGACTGTTGAGTTCACAGGTACAATTTACATTCTCCTTCAGATGTTACTATTTTTAATGTAATGTTATCATAGTTCAAATCAGTAATCTTTAGAAATGTGTAATATGACCTATCCAGAATATCAGAAAAAAAGTTGACACATTTCCTTTGCCTTGACCAATGCTGTGTTATGCTTTTTTCTGATGTCTATGTGGAATTTGTACTTTTACATTTTGATATGTGTTAAAATATAAAAACACTATATTATAAAGACAAGAAAATAAGAAATAGCAGACCATTTTTTTTACACTGTATGTTTGTTCACAGCTTTGTCAGCTACAGTAAGCAGTAAAAATCAGCAGTCCGGTGCACATCCCCAGTACACATTTATTGGCTCCAGGAGACTTACAGCTAACAGTGAACTACTTCATCTGCTAGAGGCCAGGTAATGAAGCTTTACTCTAAATCCTATGATTTTTAGGTAAACTGTATGTAAGATCTACCTCCAGAAAGAAACCAGATAATCCATTCAAGATCTGCTTTTAATTAGTAGTATACCTGCTGTTGACAAAGTTTTGTTATCAAGTGTGGTGAGTTCTTTAACATGTGTTGCTCTCCTCAAACATGGGAGCATATTAAGACAAAATTGGCATAGTACCTGAATGCAATTATTATTATTATTTCTTTACATCAGGCATAACTCGCCCATAAACAACATACATATAAAATACACACACAATGTTGTAACTGTAATTATGTTTTTTTCAGACATGATGTGCTGATAGTTGAGAGAGACTACTCCCAACTGAAGGCTTCCACTGCTAGGACAGACCAGGCCCATCCAGACATCATTGTGGATGAGAGAACATGTATGGTATTGCAGGACCTCACAGGTATATAATGTCTCATAACTTTAATAACTATAAAACTATAATCTTTTGTTCTATGTCCAACAAAGCTGAAGTCACTGTGGAAATTTCTTTGTGAGTTATACCCTTTTCCCAGGTGAGACCAAGAACTTTTTGATGTAGCATCCATATGTCCTTTTGCAACCTTATCCCTGATTGGTCCAATATTTCAAAGGTTTACTTGGAGACAAGGAGGTCGACCCCCTGATAAACCAGTTGCTGGGATTGGCTCCCAGGTTCCAGCTGTGTTGGACCATCCTGTACCCTGGACAGGGCAGAAACAACACCTACCCTTTCTCTGGAGCAGTCACAAGTAACCTGGCACGACTCACGGCAGCCATCACACATCTGTCACCAAAGGATCATGGCTTTGAGGTTAAGGTTAGTGTTTTCTTAGTCAATAAACTTTGTAATCTTTACTTCTCAATAAACTTTGTCATCTTTACTTCTAAACCATGTACAATCTCTGGAGCAGTCACAAGCAACTTGGCACGAGGTCTGTGTTTTCTATGTGTTTTCATATCTCCTTCACTCCTTGGCTTCATTCTTAAACTTGACAATCTAGGAGGGCAAGACGTCCTAAAGGCTTCTAAAACTGTTTGGACCTTCAAGATATTAAAGACTTTACATTTATGGTTGATGTGCACCCAGTGCTTATAATCTTTCTTTTTTTCAAAAAAGAAAAAGAAATTTGGCAATTCTCAGAAACAGGAACTCAAATTGGCATTGTGCAGGGTGCAGTGTTAGCAACCCTGCCTCTGGACCAAGAGGTTGGGAGTTTGAATCCTGGCTGTTGTCGCTCACCCAACATGCACGCTACTGTAAAGGGTTGCAGTCCTTAGGATGAGACTTTAAGCTGTGGTCCACTGTTCATTACATGTAGCATTGTCGAAAAACAGCTAGGGGAATTTTCTCCAGCACAATGAACCTGTAAGTACTTTACATAGCGTCTGTCTTTTCTGTCACGACCAGTGGGAGATTAGCTCTTCAGTGAGCTAAAACTGGATCAAGATTCATTTACTTTCCTGTTATAAGGCAGACATGTTTTTGTTTGTTTAGCTCCTGTATGCCAATAGCACCACAGATACAGCCAGACTGGTAAGGGAAGTGGGAGACAGGGCGCTGGCTAACACCACAGTCTGGGCAGAACACGACTGGATCAAGAGAACCTGGCTTACTGAAGACATGAGCATGGTCAGTTAGTGTTTGCTTTCCACACAGTTTTATCTATATGATAGTCTTAAAAAGAGATAGCAGTGGAGATGAAATTTGAAGAGCTACAAAACTTAAGTACCACCCTGTGCAATTCATGCCACAAGATCTAAGTCAAAATTTAACTCTTTGACAATCTTTCTCTTTTTGAATTCCATGTACAAATCCAGCATGAGCAGTTTCTTCTATCCTTCCCCTGCATTAACTCATTCAGGTAAGTCTGGACATTTGGAGTATCATTGTTCATGTTGTTACGTTCAGTTGAGGAAACTCATTCAATCTTATTATTGTTATGAAAATTAAAGCTGAACAAATGAGAAATCAAGGTAGATTGTCTTAGATTATACAATTATTTAGATAGCAGGCTATCCCTAGTAGTGTAGAACAATGGGGAGACCAATGCAAGGACGTTAGCACATGATCAACACAGGTTGTGATGATAAAACAGACAAAGATGCCATGTGTCCCTCCCACAGTGCCCAGGTGATGCTGACAGCTGCACCCCTGTACCAGCTGCTGACCTGTCCCATGCAGGAACTGGTCACCCTGTGTCCATGGATACCTCAGAAGGTGCTACAGGTGAGGATCCACTGATACCACCACCTGTTGCAGAGGTATCTTCTCTCTTGACAATGGGGAAATTACTAATAGTATAAGGCTAGCTTCAATACATGTATTTAAGCTGTATATTACTTATAAATGCCTGGAAGTAAGATACTGAGGTTGCTTACACACAACCAGTACTTGTCTCACCTTGCTTGATTTTTTCTGTCTATCAGACATCTTCTTCAGAGCTTTTAACTGGAGTACTACTTCTTGCCACTGTATGTAGCCAATGTAGGTTGTGCTATGAGGAAAATGTCTGATAGACATTGAAATGCAAGCAAGGTGAGAGAAGTACTTGCTGTGTATAAGAAAATCGCAATATCCTATATTCTACCAACCAACCAACCAACCAACCAACCAACCAGCCAGCCAGCCAGCCAGCCAGCCAGCCAGCCAACCAACCAACCAACCAACCAACCAACCAACCAACCAACCAACCAACCAACCAACCAGCTAGATAAAGTATCTTCGGAATGAATTTCCATCCACAGTTGATCACATAATATTGATTTTTTTTCTACTTCCAGGCTTTCTATCAAGTTGCCCACTGTGAGCCAGATATTAACACCAGGACAAACACACCCGTTTCCTCCCCACAACCACACAACGACTGTCCCCCTCTGGGGTCCAACCTGTCAGAGAACACCATGAGCGCAGGTTGTAGCAATGCTGAAATGGTTGTGAGGAAACAAAATGTCCAAACATCTTTACAAGACCTAGAGAGCAGTAGTGTTGACAGGGTAGCAAGCAGTGAAAAAAATAATGATCCTTCAATGCAGAATCCTTCCTTTCATACTAGAGATCCCCTTCCTAAGATGATGCCGTCTCATGCAAGTGATGAAGGTCTTGATTCATCTGTAAGAAGCCCCAAAATATCTAAGAATCATTCTGACATGAGTGTACATGGTAATAGTGCAGCACCCAAATTAGGACTGTATGAAAGTAGATTTAATATCTCCAGTGGTCAGAGCTATTCTCGTGAATCCTCAATGACTATCAACTCAGAGGGATACTTCCAAAACCCAGCAGCATCTCTGACAGAATCCAAACCTTTCAACTACAATAACTTGAAGACAAGTTCATCAGATGTAAGTCAGCAATACGCAAATAGAAACCAGGCCACTGAGGCTCAGCTAGTGACACGGAACAGAGGCACCTATCCATTAAGACCTGAACTGCAAGAGCTACCCCTGGTGAGCAAGTCAATCTACGAACAGACTCCTTTAGAGTTCATAGCCTCTACTTGTGATCTGAGCTTGCTGGGACGTCACAAAGATGCCATCAGCAATGAGAGCATTGAAAGCATCAATGGAAACGTCAATGACTGGACTGGTTCCGGCCAAACTTTTGCCTTTCCTGACATGCAGTACCAAACTGGACAGACAAATATGTCCGGTGTTCCCTCATGGCATACTGCTTCACTCCCAAGACCACAGCCATTTCCAGTTCCAAGGCAATTCGGACAGTATGTATCTGATAACCATACCCACAGCAATGCTGTAGTGTCTGTCAAACCGTTTGCTGCAACAACTCTCGATGATGGACTCACAGAATCTACATCCCTCACCACTGGCGGTGTATCGTCATCGACTGTTACAAGACAGGGAAACCCACACACAGCAAACTACATGACAACATTTGCAAACCTCTACAACAACGGACAGAACGTCAGCGCAATTCCAACCTCACAACATGCAGGATACGGAGGATGTCAGCCTCTTACAGTTCACAAACCCTCATCATCATCCAGACAGTTGTTTTCACAGTATGAGATTCAGAACCCGCCACCAAAGTATGGTGCCAATGTAGCTGTTGCCCAGCCCTACCAGCATCAACACAGTACAAGAGGTACCAACAGGCAGTATAACTCCAGAGGGTTGCAGGCAACAATGGTTGGATACGGAGACCAAAGAGGAAATCGCAGTGGGAAGGTATGTAAAAATGGAGGAACAGGTTTTGCATAACAGTGAAGTATGCAGATGTCTTTTTTTGTCTGTCTGTGTGTGTGTGTTTCTGTGTGTGAGTCACCATATTCAACATTGATCATGACATGGATGATGTTATAGTAATGATCTGTTGCAGACACCCATGGTAGCCAGGGACCCGTCAGACCACAGGGTGCCATCTCACCATGCTGACATGGAAGACAGAGGTAAGGCAGTGTTTACACTTTACCTTTGAAGATTGATTTCATTCTGTCTTCTTCTCTGTTACGAATTAAAACCATGACTTTTACAGCACTGTAAATCTACAATTGATAAAAGCAACATTGTGCAGTTTGCTGAGTTTAAGATACTAATGAACACTTCTTGTTTTTCTAGCAAGAGAACTGAATGAGCAGTATGCCATGTACCCAGATGACTACAGTCACGTCACAATGTCCTCGGCAACAAAGAGACGCAAGCTGACGTACGAGAAGGTACCTGGGGCTCGAGGTGGTCAGACACGTCTTACTTTCTTCTGAGATGTTCAGAAATGCATCATAGCAAGAGAGATGACATTTATATACTGTAATTCATGATGGGTATAGAATTTTCTTCATACACAACCAGTAAGGTTCTCGCCTGCTTACGTTTCGATGTCTATCAGACACCTTCCTCAGAGCTTCTGACTGGAGTTCTGCAACTCGCCGCTATTTAACGCCAAAGTAGGTGTCGCTTTTGCGGCGAGAATTCATGATTTTTTCACGGTACTTTTATGTTCGTGGTTTTTGCAGTCACTTATGTACTGCAAACTTATCATTACTGTCATTGAGACTTTACACACCGACGACACTGGTGTCCCTGTCCTTGGTGCTGAATTACGCTCAGACTAACAATATTAGAAGAAAAGAAACTAAAATGCCATTTGAAAGGATTTGGATGTTTGCTAATAACTATAAAACAGTTGAGTTTATTGTCCACAACCTTGGGTTAGTTCTAGGTCCTTATGGTCTAATATTTGCTGCATTTTAGATCCATCTTCCCATTTAGGTGAAGGTAACTGGGTTTGGTTATGAAGATTGCAATTCAATATTTATTCTAGGCTTTGTTTAAGCTTGGTATTGAATAATGTTTAAAAGAAAGAGTATTAGATGAGATTTATAAAAAAAATTACAATTTAGAATTCTAGAATTATAGTTCCTGTACAAAGTGATACTGAATTGCAGTTCTTTGGATTGCTTGTTTTAACAAATTGACTTTTCAGCAAATTTATAAAAATGACTTTGAGATACATCTTGAAGTTTTGTTGATATTATGAATAAAAGTTGTCATCGTTTTATGTTGCAAAAATACAGACTAGTAGTCATTACCTTGAAAGCCCTTTATTTAGCTGTTCAAACCAAATGATCCTTACATACCCCTAGGAACCAAAGTCTAAAATTTTATTTCTGCAAACATGCACAATCACAAGTTTTCTGCTGTCACAATGTTCTAATGCAAGACATGAACAGTTGTACAATTGCACAATTATAATGAACAATCATTACCGGTATCAGATACATTTGATTGTACCATTGTTATCTATATAATAGTGATTCTTTGATACAAATGTATCTGACATTAAATGTTGTGTTATTAGATATCACTTGACTGCTATGATTGTATTTACATGATGATCTAACATCTTTCAACAGCTGCTTGTTTCTAGCTATATTTCTAATGTTGCAAATGTCTTGGTTGGCATATTCATCCCACACCACAAACAACACAGTCACGTGTATTGGGAAATTGGACATTAACATGCATTTGTGTAAAGATGATCTATTGAAATGTATCCAAGAATTACTGATCTGCATTTTTTCAATTATTTTAGTTTTCCTGTTTCTCGTGGTTAGAAAAATTTAAAGCCTGGCCATCTGTTGTTTGTTTGCAACTTGATTATACCTCATTGTCGTATTTACTATGCATGTACAACTAATATCTTCTTCTTGTGAATACATGTACCATGCATTAATAGCTACACCCTATCTTCAAGTTCTACTGTTCATATATGTATGTTTTTTCATTCTGCCTTCACCCCATTTACAATGGTAAGATAAGATTCTTCAGGAAAATACAGTTCTGCCTGCCTAGTCTGCCATAGTTACAAAGTCATGTACATCTTTACCTTACCTTACTGTTCTGAGTATGCAGGACTGAGGACAAGTCCTTGTCTGGTCCCTTTCCAATTAAGATTGTGTGGACGAGGAAATCTAATAACTTAAACGTGCAGATGATTAGGATAGGGTGCTCTTCATTGTCTCCAATTTGGAGAACATGTCTACAACAGCAGCAGTATGCAAGACATTAATACTTTCCAGAACTTAGATGACACTTGTACATGTGGTGTGAGTTTTCCGTTTTCTGCTTAAGCTTGCTAAAGGTACCCAATGCAATTTCAGGGCGACAAAACTAAGGTTTCAAAGTCATTTTTTTACTCCTTCTTTTAATGTAATTAGTCGATTCAGTCCTATCTGATATCTGTGAGGCAAAAATACAATATCACTGATGAAAAAACAGTTACTTGTTTCCTGTCGTTGGCTGGTTCTAGCTATTTACGGGCGGTACCCAATGATACAGAGATGTCTCATGTCGCTTGTTTTGGGGCTATTTCAAATGTTTCAAGTATGAAACAATGAAATTACTTTGGATACCTTTAAGATAATGCGTCACTTGCAACAGTTTTATGTACATAGCTGGGCGGGGTTTAGCGTCTTCTTCTGACCACGTGGCAGTAGAAGGAGATGCCTGCAGCGCTGATGACAGTCAGTAGGAGGCCTACCAGCAGCAGGAGGATAGCCGTGGACGTGATGGGAGGGTCCTGGTGAGAAACATACCCCACGTCGTTGAAGCCACTATAGCTGCTGCAGACGGAGGGGTAAGAAAATGGCGAAATTTTATTTCCTTTCAGTTGTATCGTGAAATGACCAGAGAAAATAACATGGATACACAATACAGCACTGTACTGTATGCACACACAATATTATACTGCGCAAAGTGCACGTTTTACTTTCACCTTAAAGCATGCATAATGTTCCGTTTCTTCCTTTATGTGTACCTTTACACATGTTTTAAGGATTTCGTTCAGTGCATAGATAATGCTACAAATTATAATGGGCAATTTCGATAAACAGATTTAACACACTACATGTGTTATATTATGTTGGCAAATGTATTTAAATCATTGTATTTAAAACTATTTTGAAATTTCATAGCAACAGAGGCAAACGTTTGTTTGGTCTTTTTCTTGCAGAAAGTCTCGGCCACACCTGTACTGCGCATGCACCATCCTACTGGCCAATGGGGGCGCCACATAGTGATGACGTTTCATGTGTGTGGGCGGCTTGACAACCCGGTTGGAGGCCTCCTTCTTAGCTGCGGGGACCGGCTTCTGTTGTTTTTGTTGCAGAACGGCACTAGAATGGAGGTAAACACATTCAAAATAGACTTGACAAGTATATGGGATATCATCCGAAAGTTTGAACCATCACACATCGGGGCATGCCCTTAATCTTCTTTCGAAAGGTGTGGTGGGTTCTTTAATGTTCGTTAACGTCCTACCAGAGGAACGTCCCAAACAGAAGCTATGTACTCATTTCCACCTGAGAGAAGTCGGAGAAGACGTATTAAGTGCATTATCCAAGGGCAAAACATTGGGGCATGTTTTCCAAGAGCACACTGTGCTCTTCCCCATAGCATGGGGATCGAACTCGGTACCTCTCACTTTAGCGAACAAAAACTTTAGCAGTCCTGCTAAAGTATCAGTTTTAATTTAGGATTTCAAAGGTATTTTTTCATAATTCATAGATCCACAGATGTCCTTACGGAGAGAGAGCAGTCCTGACGTCATCCAGCGCCGTGACGATAGCCTCCTCCAGGCTGAAGTCTGCCAGGTACAGGCTCATCTTAGACTGCAGTTCCACCGTCTTCCCCGGGATGGCGCTGGTGAGCGAGACTGCAGCGGCCGCCTCGTTAATGGAAAACACCGTCACCACTCCTGTATGGTACATTGTACGTATGGGCGGGATGTCAGCGTTAGATTAAAATCAATATGACGCATTGAGCTGTCTTTCCGTTATAGAGAAAGATGTGTATATGTTGCAATCCGTAGCCACCGGTAAGAATTCATCAACAGTAACTGCAAATGATATTGCGACTAAATGTTCTCTTCCATAGGGCTTTGGAAAAAAATGTTGTGTTTCCTGTTTCAGCCCTGAAAAAATAGGGTCGGTACATAGGGATTATCTTTTTTCTTTTTTTTTTAATTTTGGCGATGTCTAGTGATCCAACTCATACCAAGGCTCCTTGCTTATACAATACAACTTAATAAGTGTAACTTGCATGAGGACACGTAATATTTTCAATGTCAATGTTGGAAAACCGATTGTACAACGTTTCATCACTCAGGTGTCAGATCATGCAGCTATAAAAGGTCGATCAACTAAAAAAGTTAATATCCCTTGCAGGCGTCCACACAAAGGTGGGTTTCTAGGGTCGGTCGGGAAACAGGAAACACAACATTTTTCCCTAGGCCTCACATACCAATACCTTTTCAGGTTTGACGCCCACGTACAACTTTGACAAACTGCCAACAAATCGGTAAGTAGCGACCATGATCTTTGAAATTAAGTTTTCTGACTGCGAATTTACAGTGTTCATTATTTCCCTTCGATTTATCTCAAAAATTGCCAGACAAATTGATGCATTTGAATTAAACACGGTGTTCAATCTGATAACGTTATATCATAGATTCGTAATTTAGAAAAAAATATGGACTCATTACAGAGTGCAAACAAGGTTTAACGTCTTGCTCATAAGCATTAAGCGCAGCAGGCAGATTTCATTCGCAACGTGCGTTGGTAAAATTGCTCTGTACGTGTAAACATGCATTATTATATACGATTGATGAAAAATATATGTTCAGTGAGCGAAATTTGGCATGATGAAGCCCTAGTATGTAGGCAGAACATTTCAAGGAGCTATTGCAAAAAGCGTGTTACTTAGCAACGGTTGCTAGGAAACCAACCACATTCCGGGTTGTCCCTGAACCTGCTGCTGGCGATGTCCATGGCGAGCTTCTTCGCCCTGGCGCGCGGGATGCCGGGAAACTTGCTGTCCGGCAGGTTGGGCACGACCACCACCACCACGGCGAACCCGCCCTTGTCGCTGTTACCCCGGCAACTGTCATCAGACAACGCCCTCTGGGTGGCTGCAGGACAGAACAAGAATTCATAGATGTCAGACCTCCTTGTAACCATGGTGCTCCACGTTGTTACCCTCTATGTATAACTTTAAAACGATGCAACTCACTCAGACTTACATTGGAGATACCAAGCGTTTCTAGCTCTGTTTGACTGTTTCTAACAGTCAATTAGATATAGAAGTCCAAATACTACATGTGCTAATGGCCTAAATTCTCCTTCTAGCTCTGATTGGCGGATGTGTTTCCGCCAATGAGATATAGGAGGTTAACACCAGCTGTCAAGGAGGTCATGTAATGAAAAACACATGCAAAAGTAGCGAGCTCTACCAGATATAGAAGTAATAACTTTTTCGCTCTGGGACAGACTGAAGCCAACCACATCCATTACTATAAGGGCCATGGGTATACACATACACATACACACACTCAGATATAAACTGATAATTGAAATAAACATAGATAGCTTCAGAAAAGGGTTTCGTTTAGATGTACAAAGGTTGGGAGCGGCAGGTCGCTCAGTATAACCTCACCAGCTGCCGCTGCGCCGCGTGCCTGCGAAGCTGGTTTGCTACGCCGAAGGGCGGTTATACCGGCTATACAGAGACAGACATCAGATATTTTTTTTACCCCATGGTCTTCTGTCAGTTATGCGGATTGATCTGTTGCAATTGACGTTGATGTGGAAGTCTTGACAGTTTGCGTGGTCGTAGATTTTCTATGTGAGCTTTTAATGGTTTCCCTTCAACTCTAAGCCACTCTGCCTCTTGATACGGCATCATCGCCAAAGACACCCTGAATCGCCTTGTCCATCAGAGATTGTGCACAAGTTTACAACACAAAGGGGTTTAAATAAATCAAAGGTATTTCTTTACATGGACATGAAGTAAGGTTCCCAGTGTTTATATTGAATGAATGCACCTTTAATGTGCATACATACCAGCTGGTTTAAGTACAAGTCAACACAAATGAATAGTTTGTATATCCATCTATATATGTGCATGATCAAGCTAGTGCTAGCACTATAGTATATGCCACTCTCTTTGCTTCTCTGTGATGGTGAAAAGGTAAAAACAGACATGTTTTAGGATCACATGTTTGTCCAAGACCATTCAAAATATGAAGTAGGAGAAATCTATGAGCTTGTGAAGTTCAACTAAAATTAATTTTCAATATCGCAGCTTTAGCAAAATATCCCTTTTGCCCACGGCCTCTACTGACCGCCAGTTCTATCTATAAGGCCATGACCAGATCGAACGTGACTAAGACATTGATTGAGGATCTTCCCAACGTACGAATGGCGAGAGGTGACGGGTAGATCCGTCTGGATTTGCCGTCTGCAGGTTTGGGTGATACAATCTCAGCCAGGAGACGGTCCTGTCATTGATTACCTGGTAAAGAGCTCAGGAGAGCTTATGTTCGATGTGACCGGCGCTCCTACCCAAACGCTCACAGAGCAGTCGTTAAAAAGCCATTTTGCTGAGGCAAAGTAATATTTTCCATTTATTTCTTTAAAATTCATCTAAGTTTATTGCAAGTTCATGCCCTGTGGCCAATGTCAGGTAACATAGAAATGGTAGCAATGAAACAACGTGCAAAAGAATCATGAAAGCGGCCAATCTACATTCTAGAAGGTAATTTTTCTGAAACTATATATGTCTATGGAGTTTGACTTCTGTGCAAACCATGCAAGATATAACGTCCTACCTTTTCTGTGATGTCTGGGTTTTGGGTAGTTAGAAGAAAAGTGCGTTTTTTTAAATTTGTCTCTAAACTAAGGAAAGTTTGGATGTATTCGTAGAGGTAATTAAAATAGATAACCGGTATGGGCAGTTTGATAGGAAGTGAATCTTGTCTCAACAGCTTTCTGATTACAATATTATAGATATTTTTCGCATGCAGGTATACGTAAAAACAGGATACTGACCTTGCTGATTGTATATTCTGTCGATGGTCTTCTATAATATTGATCTAATACTGCTATTCATTTGCGCACCCTTAGTCTGCAGCGTTTGATAGGCTGTCTAGGTTGATAAATCTACTGCCCTCAACTACATTCTATAGCAGACTGCAACTAGGTGCCAGCCGTAATAAGTATATATATTGGCGTTCTTCGACTGATTTTGTCAGTTACCCAAGGTAAGCAGTGCTGCACATACATGTACATTGCACAAGATCCATTCTTAACGCACCCATAAAGTATATGCGTAAAGGTTCAATTTCTTCACTTGGTGTACATTTACGCAAGCTTTAATATGTGTGTAAATATAGGATTTCGTACATTGTGTACACCATGGATTGATACGTTATACATATTCTATTTAATATGTGCAGACGCTATGGTATGGCACACTTTCAAGATTATACTTGGCAGAAATGGAAAACATGAAAAGTTAACTTTGTTGATGTTCAGGGAATCGGCTATCCATGAAACTTATATGTGATTCAGAGTCCAGAGGCCACCATGGAGAACGCGATATATCAATAGTATTATCTCCTGAAGGTGCGCTAACGCCGAACGATTGATAGCACAGGGCCGGGGAAGGACTTTAAAACCCTGCCATTCATCAGGGCCAAATCGCCCGCACGACAATTCTGGTTAAAAGCCCGCCATAAGTCGTTTCTGTGCCGAGTTAAGCCGAGAGACTGCGGTAACGACTCGTGCGAACTGTAACCGTGGCGGTATGTTATCGCCTTCATGGGCTTAAACCCCTGTCACACATCCAGAACATTCGCCCAGACCACCGACCAAGCAAGGTTCTGTGGGGTCGTGTGGCGTAACGGCAGAATGCTCGACTCGGAACCAAGACGTCCCGGGTTCGAGTCCTGACATGACACCGATCTTGTGCCCTTGGTGAGCTTCGCGCTGATACTTTCTAACCGTTGCGCTGTGACCTGGAGTTTTGTGTTTAGGAGTTTAGTGTTCAGGAAGCCATATTCAGCTATATGTGTGACAGGAGCTTTAGCCAGAAGTATCCACGAGTCTCGTTCCATAGAGACTAACAACAGGTCAGTTTGCCGCGCTCATACATATCCCAACTTCTCGCTGATACCTTCTAACCGTAGCGCCCTGACCTGACAGGGCTGTCTGATCATTGACAGTCCGGACAAGTTGGCGTTAACTGTAGCGCTGTAGTGCAAAAATTGGACTTTGCTGGCAGGAACGTGTTCCAGTAATGAAAACTGGTGGAGTGGACGTGAGGGAGGTACAAAACAGCCCTGGCATCGACTGGAATATACTCAGATGAAAGAACGAATTGACAAGGAATTGTTACTCTAGCAACTGGATAGATTGTGAAAAAATCTATGAGATACACAAGGAATTGTTGAGATTGAAAATCCATCCAGTTGCTTGAGTAACAATTCGTTGTGTATCTCATTACCTAGATGTCTAACCTTCATCGACGAAGAACGGATGGAAGCGGAATTCCACAAAATGCCGTAACATGGAACAGTAGAAAAATGGAGAAATTAATGGCAAAAATGGGATACCATCCACCAAGTGTGCGTAGGATGGACGAAGGTCTCAGTAACTGAAAAGGACTACACAATTTTCCCAATATACGACTATGTTGAAACAATGCAGTTTTTCCTTTATCGATATCGACTATTCGTACGTTATGCTAGCCCGTCGGCAAATGTATCAGTCTACATCGTGTAATATACGGGCCATTCTTCACATTGCCATCTATCCTGAGGCCTCTGTTCAACTCCGTGTATCATGCAAGCGAGCGCAGTACTCAATTGAGATATACAGTAAAACCTGTCCAGAGCGGCCATCCAGGGGGACCGAACAATATCGGTCGCCTTGGACAGGTGGTCTCTTTGAAGAGGGTCGACTCACAACATGACTGATGCCTATAACTTCTTGCTGCGCCATAATTGTTGTAAGTCGAGGTGTTTTATGTCGATTACTGGAAGTATATTTACATTCACAGTGTCTTTAGTTCGTGCACTGTATAAGATCTTATCTATAAGCACACATTTAAGAGAAGCAACGGGACATTTCAGCATGCTTTAAAAAGAACTTATTGCAGTGGTGGTTTCGGACAAATGAAAAATTCACGATGCTTTCCAATCCGCGATTGAACAAATGCAATCGATTTATACATGTACGCCCCATATCTCTATAGTAGCTATACCAGATTACTGCAGCACTGGGTTGTGATAGGATTAGTACCATAACTATCTATGGCGATTATCACCCGTGATACGGCTAAGCCTATAGCTTTACTAGCCAGTTACAACACGTACCTAACTCAGTATGACTGATTCAAGCCATGAGACCTGTGAACGCTGAGTAATATGTGAAACACAACACCACACTGTGATTTATCCAAAACGCCCAGCACACGGGCGGCCTCGATTAAACATACGGTTCTCCTGTATGTCTCCATGCCCCCTCCAACAGACCCCTTTTAACGTGATGTATTTACGTAAGGCCATGTTGATTTGATTATATGGATGACATCCTCTGCGAACCCCAAAACTGATGCGAGCGTGCAAATCAGCTCGCATGAGTTTTGAGGTTCCCAGAGGATGTCATCCATATAATCAAATCAACATGGCCTCCTGAATTTGTACACAGACCTGTGACGGCGTCCTCCACTCTCTCCGTGCTGTCCTCCTCCAGGATAGACACGGGGTCACACACGTCTGGTCCCGCCGGGTCGCCGCACACCTTCACCACGTCTTTGTGCGCGGAAAAACTGCGGGGGGGGGGGATGAAGCAAATGTCTAATGTAAAAATCAAGAGCATAATTTTTCCTGGGTATTTAAATTGAATCAATCCTATAGTATACTGATGTCTGGAAAATGGCGATGTCACTGACGGCTTGTCTTGTCTTGTATGCTGCTTTTAGCTAGCTACTAATGGGCAGTGCCCAAACTTCGATACACTGGCTCTGGTGTTGGAACAAGGTCTGTGTATTAGATTAAGATTACCGGTGTGAAACATCACTGTTGTTGTTCTTACGACGTGGTCACATTCGTCGTAACTAGTCGTACGATGTTGATGTGGAATTTTCAAGCAGACTATGACAGAACCAAACGCCGACAGCTTTTCTCTCACAAGACAGATGAATTTCGTGCGGCACATTCAGGGCTATCCCCCAAATGCCTTCAGTTTTAGGTACGACGGTCGTACAACGGTCGTATGAAAGTCGTACAACGGTCACACGACAGTCGTACAACGGTCGTATGACAGTCGTACAACAGTCGTACAATGGATATGACCCTTACTCGTCGCTGACGGACTGCTGCAGCTCCTTGAGTGAGTGGATGATGGCGTCCCCACGCCCCGCGTCCTTCAGCCTCAGGCTGATCTTCAGCTTCTTGTTCATGATCGGCAGGTGATCGCAGATCTCCGGACTCTGATCCAGATCACTGGAGCTGAACACGCCAACCACAGGCTCCTCGAACGAGAAGATGACGGCATAGCCTGGAGTGGATAGAATTATAACTTAGATCTCTCTCTCTCCCTCTCTCTCTCTCTTTCTCTCATATCTCAAAGTGAGTCGATTTGAAAGGTTTGAAGCCCTCTGATTTGCAGCAGATTCAACGGTTTGTTCGTCGTTTTCTTGTCTATCTAATTATAATGCTGCTCTATAGTTTCGATTGATTTATTCCAATACTTCAACGCTGCGACCGTTGAAACAGCTCGCAAGGGTCATTACACGTATGATGAGACGTGGTATCAGAGCAAACCCTTGGGCTTGGCAAAAAATGGATTCAATCAATCCACAATATCATAGAGGTAATTGAGAAATATGGAATACTTTGCTACATACCACAGTTCAAGTTATCGGGGTATCTGATCTCGCCGATTTCCTTGGCGAGTCTTTTCGCCTTCCGCCGTGGTCCGAGGTCCTTCTCCCAGTCTGTCGGCTGGTTGTCCAGTACCACGGCCGCGATCTGAACACCTCCGTAGTTCTTACATGCCGAGTACGTCTGCGTTAGCGCATCTTCTATCACTGGAAGGAGAAAGCAAAAATTGTTAGTGGGGTCGTGTGGGGTATCGGGAACCAAGAGGTCCTGAGTTCGAGTCCTGCTGATGCCACCGATCTTGTGCCCTTAGGAAAGGCACTTAACACGACTTTCCTCACTTAACTTGAGTAAAAATGCGTATTGTCCTTCCCTGTATTTGTCCTCTGCGTTGGTGGCGGCATTTAATAAGTTCAAGGTCAAATGTGACTGAAATCTGGCCAGACTGCTCCCGAACTTCGGCCAACCTTGGTTGTGAATGTGTGGCAGGAACTTTAGACCGTTTTATTCAACCAAATCACTGCCCTGCTAGGTTTTTACCTCCACGCGTATGTGACCATGCAAGTACTATTGAGCTATTTATTTTCATTTTGTGTATCTTATAAGCTTACGGCAAAATATTGAAATAAGCTCAAAAGCACAAAGTATCCTTCAGCTAGACTTCCAATACTGTGCTTGAAAAAAAGGGGCGAAGAAAACGACAACTGACTATTAATTACAACAATGGGCTTAAGATGTGATACAGTATCGGCATGTAAGCCTTGCCCGTGAGCCACGGTTTTCAACTTTGATATTATGAGATGCCAGATAGGAATATGTCATCCGTAAACTAATAAAGTTATGAATCCGCGAGATGCCTTAGGCTTTAGCTGACGTGATGTTGGGATGGGCTGTGTCTCGGAGGATTGCAATTCGATGTATCTCATTTTAAACGGTCCGTGCTTTTCAACCACTTTTCGACGGATTCTATATTGCGGTATAATTATATTTCTGATGAAAAGATAATCCAGTACGGCTAAGTATCGATATATATATTCAAAAATGGACCTTCTTTGCGATGAATTTGAACCTTACACTGTATGTATCTAATTTTATACGGTTCATGCTTTTCAGCCAATTTTCGTTGGCTTCTATTCTATAATTATATTTCTGATGAAAGGATAATCCAGTACAGGTAAATACCGATATATATACCAAAATGGGCCTACTTTTCGACTTATTTGTACATGAATTTGAACCTTATGTATCTCATTTTAAACGGTCCATGCAGTTTCCACCATTTTCGACGGCTTCCATATTGTAGTATAATTATATTTCTGATGAAAAGATAATCCATGCCAGTACAGGTAAATACCGATGTATATACCAAAATGGGCCTACTTTTCGACATAATGGTACATGAATTTGAATCTAACGTATCTCATTTTACACGGTCCGTGCTTTTCAATCACTTTTCGATTCCTTCTATTGCAGTATAATTATATTTTTGATGAAAAGATAAACCGGTACGGATAAGTATTGCTATATATACAAAAATGGGCCTACTTTTCGACTCATCTGTACATGAATTTGAACCTTATGTATCTCATTTTAAACGGTCCATGTAAAGATAATCCAGTACAGGTAAGTACCGACACATATTATACCAAAATGGGCCTACTTTTCGACTTACTGGTACATGAATTTGAACCTTATGTATCTCATTTTACACGGTTCATGCTTTCCACAAGCTCTAAAGTTTCGACACCTGTATCTGTTCACCATGTGTTTGTGACCTGTACTTACCCCAGTGTGGCAAAAATGTGCAATAAAGGTCGTCATTCATAGTAATATAACCATATGATTGACACATAAACGGGTAACCCTTGTACATGTACAGGTAACATGAACGATTAATTTGTGGCATGTCAGGACTCGAACCCAGGACCTCCTGGTTCCAAGTCGAGCCCTCTGCCGTTGCGCCACACGCCCTAGTTTTTTTACTTATAGATACATCAATCGTATTGAGAAGGACGTGACAAAAGGCTTACGTTCTCCACACCAACAGTGACCCCTGCCCCTATCATGTCTAGTTAATGAGATTTAGATAACATTTCTGGGCCAGTTAGTTTTGCTGGGGTCTCGTCACTTCCATGTTATTTGGTTGTACTGTATCAACCCACGTCACTCGTCACAAAGGTGATTTATCACGACTTGTGAAAATGTTGCTGTGTATTGTATCACGCAAGGTCATAACTTATCCAGCCTTTTAAAGTACTTCTCATTGTATTTTTGTGTGTCAGCTACTACTGCATGCATTGTTACCTTCGCCAAATAGATTATGTTTTGGTAGCGTTTTTACGTCCATGAAAAATTGGGGTATTGTTTTTTGGTCTGCCTGTCTGTCTCTCGCTCTCTGTGTAACAATTAAGTGAATATATTAGACTAAATGTATTTATATATGCCAAACAATTAACTTGGAATATGCCTGTAGTCATGAAAGTAATTAGTAAGCATTCTCCAGGGCGATTGCATGATAATGACATATTAGCTGATACTATATTAGGAGTAGGTCGGGAGCAGGATCGGTTGGTTGGTGTTTGGCTGGTGTTCGGGAGTAGATCAGCAGCACTTTGGAAAGGTGACCTAATATTCACGCTTGTCCCTTTTGGCATTTACTACATAATGACGACATTTCTGACGTGAAGGTGTCACGGTTGGTGGTAAAGCTCCTAAATTCGGTCTAATCACCAATGGCTGCATCTGGTAGCAATGCTCCAATCTAAGCAGAACTATAGTTATTTGACGGCTGACTGCTCTGTTGAACATCATCCAATTCAAAGCCATTCAGCCAAATTACGACAAACATTTATTTATTGCTCTTAAAAACAGTTGGGTGGTACCTTCAGTCTCTGAAAGACTGATTTCCAAGGTAGCCCAACAGAACATACACAATGGACAACATGGAATACAATAAAATTAAACAAAAAAAAAACAGATTAATCAAATGATCAATCGTAGCAAATGACAATAAATGATATAAACAGAGGGTACACGTAATCAATCATACAAACACAACGGAACAACCAAAACAAATAGTCAAAATCGTTAAGCATAGTCGTATTGTCAAATAATGACAGTCGGTTGTCCGTGAGGTCAGGGTCAGAGGTCGTATGTTCTTAGCGCTACTTTAAAGGCATTTATTGTTGATGCCTGTTTAATTACCGTGTTAAGCGAGTTATAGGCTGTATAGGCTGTACATGTGACATACTATATGACATGCCACTTTATGTATTATAAATTCCCCCATTACCAGAGGTTTTCTTCATTCTGTCCAAATGAGATTAAAAACGAACAAAAAACTTTCTAAACAAAATTCATTACATTTCATGTTAAACATAAAATCAACTACATTCTAGAAGAAGAGGAATTACTGTGTACAAACCATAAATATATCAAAGAATTGTTGGACCTTACGACTATAATCACGGAAAGAATAAGTCGAAGCATAAGCCTTGCATAATGCTTGGAGAGTATGTTCAATGACCATTATGGGAATCTGTAGACTTTTGACTTTTAAAAGTGGCATATACCGTCCCAACTTGCATCTCTGTATATTAATTACATACTTATCTTTGCGTACCCTATATTATCATTATATATTGGACTCGTTAACGAGCCAGGTGGGCGTAATGAATTAGATTACAAGGCTGCTTAGATAGTTGATAAACGGTATAATAACTTTATGATGAGAAATCATGAGATGCATTCAAAGCAGACATTGCCACTCACAGGTGATTAGACATACTCACTGGGAGTCAATAACTATTCATTAACTGCAAATCCTGTAATTCTGACGGTACAGTAACGATATTAAGGCCTTAAAACGGATGCCTATTCCTCTATAAGCAACGTAATGAACGAGTTACTCAGAATTAGAAACTAGTTGACTGGTAGAAGCCAGTGAAACTTTTTGGACGCTCCACCTTCAGAAGGTGGATGAGTAATGATGATGAGATGTATATCTCAACTGTGTAAGATCTGAAAATGAAGTTCTGTCCACCCACAATGATTACACCATCATTTCAATGAAACGGTTTACGCCGGTTTCCATACATCAAAAGTTCCTAACGTGAAGTTGAAAGCTTGTAATCAGTATCTCTGATATGATTGTTGGTTATCTGCATCATTAGTGATGAACCTGAAGCAATTTTTGGTGCTGCCAAATCAAGGAAGACCGATGCAGCAATTTGATGTGATGTGTTCGCGACGGCACATACAAATATTCACTTAAGTAGAAAGATACCCTTCACGGTCAAAATCCCCTTTCCCAACATTGAAAACTCGAGAGTCGACATCATTAAGGAGGATGTGACTCTGCAAGAAATTCATTCTTTTATTTATCTATTTATTTATTTTAGTTTTTTTACATAAAGCATAACTAGAGGTGGAAGCATTTTGCTGATCCCCTGCCCATAATAAAAGTATAATAACCAATAGGTACAATAATAGAAACACAAGAATGCTAATGATCTAAGTTTTCGGCAAACCACCATTTAAAACAATAACGCAAAGATGCTAGATAAAACTAAAGGTTGTCACTACTAGGTAAATTGTTAAAGCACGCCGTAAATCATGCGAAAAAGTCCCTTTTCTTCCCTCGCACGTACCTTTAAGCATGATAAAATTTTCTTTAAGATGTGTTTAAGGATGGGATTTGGTGTATTGTGAGAGACCGGGGGTTTACCATTCTCGGCACGGCCCCTCCGTTAAAGTGGAATCTGTGTCTCAATGATTTTCTCGCGAGTGGAGCGCAGGATTACAATAAGGGCGAGAGGTCAATTTGCTCTACCACGCCGCTGATTAGGGCCTGACGAGCAGAAATGCCGCCGTAATCACACCCACTGATTGCCGCTAGCCGTGCGTGGAGCGCCGCGCTTGGGAGAGGCGCCGCGGGTCTTAAGCTTCTCTCCACTGTTTAATCACCGGGAAAAACTGACCGCTTCCACGCATTGAATTACTCGTATTTATCCCGTTCTCCTCTGAAGCCTACAGCAGAGATCTGAATGAGATGTTACGATGCGATCAGACTCCTTCGGCTTACACGTGATGTTGATGATTTCTGTGATAAGATTACTGGCAATGCATGAAATCCGATCTTTAAACACAGCTTAAAGCACGCGTAAAGGTTCGCTTACTCAATGCTTTAAGCTATTCTGAAAGTTTGGAT